CAGCATGATCAGCTAATCAAAATACTGGTCAGAAAATGCTGGAAAATAAATGTATGGAAAAAGCTATGTGTTTGCTCTGAAGATGCTTAGAAGTCGGTAAGAAGAAAGCTCCAGAAACCAATGACAGCTGCATCAACTGAATAAGGAACTCTAGCAGGGAATCAACTTGGTAAACATTCACTGAGGTTTCAGTGTCTGAAAGGTTGTTGTTCAGTAAAGTGGTTAAATCTTTATTTCTGATATTTATAACAACACCATTTTAAATAGTTCTTATAAAGTGTAACATAGATCCTGTTTTTTCTTTTGTATGATAAACTTTTATGTTCTTTTGTTGAAGTACATTGGTAGCCTCTTGTGAATATGTCTGCGGCTAATCACCATGATAAATAAATTGCAAAAATGAAAGTTATGATTGATTAAGCTGGATTTTACCCTGAGATCTGATTTGTCCAGTATTCCCATCAGCTGGAATTGTAACAATATTAACAGGAAAAGTAAAATAAGTGCCAAATGTATTAAAATGGGAAGTACTGGAAATGAACAACCCAATTAAAATCTTTAAGAAAATGAAAGATATAGAACTGACATAAATTGCTAAAGCTGTAAAATAGCACATTATTACATATGTCTGTTTTGAATGTCTTATGTTAGAAAGGATGAAAAGACCTTTTTTCGCTAAGATGATACAAACAATGAGATTGTTGAGTTAAGAAAAAGATCACAGAGAACAGTCTTTTTTTGAAAAGCGAAAAGGTAAGGAAAAGGTGTGATCATGTTGTTCAAAATTCTGAGAGGTTTTGATGGACTGACTTGAGAAAAGTTATTTCTGCTTGATGAGAAGGCAGACATCTAAGATTAAAATGAAGCAAATGGATTCGCAAGTTTGCTTACATGGAGGGTTGCTAGAAAACAAAATGTTGTATTGTAAACAATTAAGCCCATAGTAAATTTCAAAAGGCAAGTGGCTAAAAATTAAAAAAAACTAGCAAAACAGGTGATGAGTCATATTGATCAAAGCCATCATTCTTCAAAATGGAGGTCCAGTTTGGTCACTTCCAAATATTGTGGCTTTTTTAAAAAACTTGATTGTCCTTTCTGGGAAGGGGTCTCACAGGAATGATAGGCTGAATGTACTCTCTCTCAGCGGGAGAACCTGACTGGGTTTACTTTAGATTTGGAAAGTGTAAAGTGGCTGGCAGCTGGAGCGATTTACCCAGTAGCAATAGAGAACATCTCAAATCATTTTTACAGCTGGCTCTCGTCTTCCTAAAAACGTAAGACGCAGGAGCAGAGAGAGACAATTCAATAAGTTTACAGCTCATCCTCTGCTTCAGCTTTCTTGCCCTATTCCTATATCGCTTAATTTATCCAAAAAACCCTTTCTTTCTCAGCTTTGAGTGCGTTCATCAAGTGGGAATTCATAATCTCTGAAGTAGAAAATACTGAAGATTCATAACCATCTGAATTCAAAATATTTCTTTTCATCTCAGTCCAAGGTGACTGCATCCTTGTCCTGAGACTTCAATTCGGGTAAGCTGATGGTGCTCAATATACATTGACAGGCAGCTTGCAAATAGAGTCATAGAGTCATAGAGTCACTCAACATGGAAACAGACCCTTCAGTCCAACCAATCCATGCCAACTGTATTCCCAAACTAAACTAGCCCCACCTGCCTGCATTTGGCCCATATCCCTCCAAACACTTCTTCTTCTTGTAGTTATCTAAATTTTAAAAAAATTGTTGTAACTGTACCCACTTCCTCGACTTTGTCTGGAAGTAAATTCCACACTCATACCACTCTCTGTGTTAAAAAAAAATTTCCCCTCCATCATGTCTTTTTAAAATCTTTCTCCTCAGCTGATGGGGAAACTGGATAAATCAGATGTCGGAGTAAAATCTGGCTTGATTAATCATAACTTTTATTTTTGCTATTTATTTACTAGGGTGATGAGTCACAGGCATATTCACAATAGGCTGCCAATGAACTTCCACAAAAGAACACAAAACTTTATCTTACAAAAGAAAACAGGATCTATGTCACACTTTGTGAAAATTGTCATAGTCTGGAAATCCTGCACCTTAGGGAAACAATACCTGTCATTCAATTTATCTATACCCCTCACGATTTTATAAACCTCTATAAGTTCACCCCTCGACCTCCTACACTCCAATAAAAAAAAAGTCCCAGCCTATCCAACCTCTCCTTATGACTCAAACAGTTCATTCCCAGCAACATCCTGGTAAATCTCTGCTGAACCTTCTCCAGCTTAATAATATCCTTCCTATAACAGGGCAACCAAAACTGGACGCAGGATTCCAGAAAAGCTCTCACCAACACCCTGTACAATCTCAACATAACATCCTAACTCCTAAACTCAAAGGTTTGAGCAATGAAGGTAAGCTGCTAAACACCTTCTTAAGCATTCTGTATACCTATGATGCAACCTTCAAAGAATTATGTACCTGAGCCCTTAGTTCTCTCTTTTCTACAACACAACCCAATGCCCTACTTTTAATTGTATAGGAATTGCCTTTGTTTGTTTTACCAAAATCCAATACCTCGCATTTATCCAAAACAAAAACTTTATCTTCCACTCTTCAGTCCATTGATCCAATTGATCAAGATCTCTTTGTAAATCTTACATAACATTCTTCACTATCCACAGTACCACCAATCTTGGTGTCATCTGCAAACTTACTAATTATATTTTCTATATTCTCATCTAAATCATTTATATAAATGACAAACAAAAGTGGACCCAGCATTGATCCCTGTGGAACACTGCTGGTCACTGGCCTCCAGTCCAAAAAACAACCCTCCACCATCAGTCTCTGTCTCCTGCCTTTAAGCTTCTTTTGTATCCAACTGGCAAGCTAACCCTGAATCCCATGTGATCTAACTTTACCAATTACTCTGCCATGCGGAACCTTGCCAAAGGCTTTACTGAAGTCCAAGTTAACAATATCTAGCGCTCTGCCCTCACCAATCTTTTTGGTTACTTCCTCAAAAAATTCAATCAAGTTTGTGAGACATGGTTTGCTTTGCACAAAACATCTGACTTTCCCTAAACATTCCTTGCCTCTCCAAAAGCATATAAATCCTATCTTTTAGAATCACTCCATCCATCATCAAAGTCAGACTCATAGGTCTATAGTTCTCCTTACATCCCTTCTTAAACAAAACCACAACATTGGCCATTTTCCAGTCATTCGGCACCTCACACGTGTTTATAGATGATACAAGTATTTCTGAAAGGGTCCCCCCCTCCCCCTGCCATAATTTCCTCCCTAACTTTCCACAAAGTCCTGAGATACACTAGATCAGGTCCCAGAGACTTATCCACCTTCAAATTTTTTAAGACCTCCAGCACTTCCTCTTCTGTCATGTGAACTGTTTTCAAAACATCAATATTTATTTCCCTGAGTTTTCTTGCCTCCGTTTCTTTTTCCACAGTTAAAACTGACATGAAATATTCATTTAATATCTCTCCCATCTCCTGAGGTTCAACACAAAGATGACCTCGTTGATCTTTAAGGGGCCCTACTCCCTCTCTAGTTGCACTCTTGCTCCTAACGTACTTGTAGAATCTCTTTGGATTATCCTTAACCTTATCTGCCAATGCTATCTCATATCCCCTCTTTGCCCTCCTGATTTCCTTTTTAAGAATGCCCCTACACTTATTGTACTGTTCAAGAGATTAATTTGAAACTAGATGTTTATATCTATTATATGTTTTTTTAATTCTTTACTAGAATCTCAATATCTTTATTCATCTATTGTTCTCTAATCCTACTAACCTTACCTTTCACTGTAACAGGAACATAATTACTGAATTATTATTATCACACTTTTGAAAGCATCCCACATATTTGACATTCCTTGACCTGCAAACAGTCTACTCCAATCAATTTTTGAAAGTTCTTGTTTCATACCATTAGAATTTGCCTAACTTCAATTAAACACTAATTTTTATGGAAGGCTGATCCTGCTGTGTAATCACTTCTCTAAATCTACTAGTCATCATATTTAGTGTCTCTTGTATGACCTCAATGTCATTAAGCCTAAAAATAAGCAGCTTACAATTGCACCTTTTATATAAAATAAATCAGCTTTCTTTACCCAAATTGTCAATATTAAGTGCACAAAAAATAAGAAATAGTAAAAAACATATGAATATTAAATTAAATCCAGGGAGGCAGGGGTTTCAGCAGAGCTAGAGCTGAACTGTAAGTCTAAACACAAGAAGGGAGTGAAGGTGGTACTGAGTGGGAGGAGGATTGCAGTGTGCTGAGGAATGTGCGGTGAGTGAGAAGATTTGACCATTCAGCTGAAGAATTTTGTAGAACTATAGATTCGAGCCCAAGTGTTCTTACGTAAGAGTGTGTACATCATCGGTTTATCTGTTTTCTAACCGATGCGATGTCTAAACAAATATCACCAAATCCTTCATGGTTCAGGTTGGACATTTTGAGAGGGTTCAGGTTGGACATTTTGAGAGGGTCAGGCATAGGACTACAAATGGCATAGGACTCTAAGTATCTGAATAAAGCAAAATCTGTTTTGAAGAAAGAACTAGCTTTCTATTTTGAGGTCCAAACATTGAAGTTATTGCTTCAATACAATTTTTATCTACTCAAGCCAAAGTTCTGTGCATAATTTGGGGTGCAGCAAATGAAAATTGACACGATGATCTAACAATTAGCGAAATCTGATTCCTACAGGACAAAACTGATATCTGCTGAATCCTCTAAGAATCCAGATTTCCAGTCAAATCAAACAACTGTTGATCCTGCAATCCAGCGGCTTCCAAGAAACATTGAGACTTACTAACAGCTGATCTATTCTTAGAATTATTCCAATGAATTAAAACATTTCAGCAACAGTGTAATTAAATTGAGATCTTAAATTGCCTTACAAATGACCTAGCCAATCTTGATGCATGTACGTTATTAATTCATCTTTTCTCTTATAGACAATATTTAAATAAATATCACAAACCTTCATATTGACAAATTCATGTGACCTGCTGCCACTGAGTTTCAGAAAATAATCCAGCAGCAAGAGGTTTCCTTCCTGAACTGCAAAGTGTGCCACTGTTTTATTGCTTTTCACGTCCTGTTTACAAGAAACAAAATTAAGTTTTAAGATATGCATATGTATCCTGAACCTGATCGTGAAGCCTTCTATCCAGTGCCCCATAAGTCTTGCAGTGTAGTGGAACCTCAGAGCATATACTTGGTTCAGATGGTAACATGCTTATTGCCACGGAGTTGTGGGTTCACCTTCCAAACCCAAAATCACTACCACCTAAGAGGAAAAGGACAGCAGATACATTGGGAAATCACCAGCTGCAGATTCTCCACCAAGACAGTTATCACCCTGACTCGGAAATATCGCTGTTCCTTCAAGGCTGCTAGGTCAAGATTCTGGAATTCCCTCCTTAACAGCATTGTGGGTCTACCTACAGCAATGGACTACAGCAGTACAAGACAGCAGCTCACCACTACTTTCTCAAGGGCAACTAGGGACAGGGAATAAACGCTGACCAGCCAGCAATGCCCACATCCTGAGAGCGAATGAATAAAAAATAAGTCCCATTTCAACCCATGTGTGATGCAGTACCAAGGGAATGATGTACTCTCAGTTTCAGCACAGAATGCATTGAAACAGATTGAGAATTCCCGTCATGCCATCCTTCTTCACTAATCACAATCATCAAGATCATTTGACCCATTCCTGCTTTGTGAAGTCATGCTGTACCAAATGAACTACTGTGTTCTGCCCGTGCAATAAAAGTAGTGACAAATCAAAATTACTTAATTTCTGAAGAGCTTCACAATGAATTTTGAGAGTATGATAAGCTGTCCATGTAAGTTCAATTTCTTTCTTTGTCCTCACTTTCTTTTCTCAAATGAAATGTATTCTTGATCACTGGAAGTTGGAAGTTGTCCAAAAGAAATGGAATATTTCTTTACAGCACCTCTAGAACATAAAGTAGCTGTACTCAGATTGTGATCAATAATCTTGCTGCAATTAGTTTTAGAGCACTCATAACATTGTTGTGGCAGCGAAATGTGTACCTGGCTTCTTGCAAACATTCTTGACTAGGATGTGATGGTAGTCCAGTGGAAATATCTCCAGCATGGTAGCACTAATGGGGATACGTGTTCAAATCTCATTGTGGCAATCTTTCTTCTGGTTACTAATAATGCAGCTGGTTCACTAATCTCATTGAAGCAATTCTGCTGTTCTTGTCAGGTCTGATGTAAATGTGACTCCAGACCCATAGCAGTGTGATGGACCCTTAACTACCCAATGAAATGCCCCAGTTGAGGGTGGCTTATGGTCCCCTTCACAAGCAAAACTGACAATGGGCAACAAATTATGGCATTAATTTTGATGCCCTTGTTCAATGAAATAACAAAATAAAGTGGAGGATAGCAAGAGGGATAAAACGACATTTTTTAAAAAAGGGGTACTGTAGTGATTGGAACCAGGTGGACCTCATTGATTACGAGGTCCTTAATGAGGCCTGTTAAGCTGGGCCAATAAAGAAAGCCCTGTAGGACCAATATGAACAGGAGATTAGAATGTCCTCAGTTCAGGGCATTGATTCCGAGCTGGCTCACCACAGTGAGTGTACTGTGCACAAGTAAATAAAGGGTGCCTTGGTGATGGCATACCAGTCTCTGAGCAAATAAAGAATTTCAACATGAGTAATCTTTGTAACCCCATTAAGTTCCATATAACTAAATCTTCAGTTTCATCTTTAACTAGTCTGACAATTACTACGATTACTTTTTGTGGTGTAGGAAGTTGAAACCAAACCAAAATAACACAACATAAAATTATGGTTTGTGTGGCTCCCAAAGACACTAGCTTCCTGTATTTGTCACCACAGTATATTTTGGATCAGTTACATTCATCCCAATGGTCATTTCTCGTCTTACTTCTTTAGCTTGGTAGCTGAGAAATTGGAGGATCTTTCTTTTTCAAAACCATGACTGAGAATGGAAGCTTGATCAATGTAGTCCTTCCTCTTGGTGGCACAGCATCTAGATGCACCAGTAACTGATGCCCTTTAACTAATTTGTTTAAAATCTCTAGTCTTGTGAGAGGCAACCGAGTGAAAGCTAGCACATAAGTTAAGGATATAAGGATACTATCATTTGCGTGCTCATAATTACATTAACTGGGATTTTCTCTTGGCAGTGGGGATGGGAGGAGTGTGGATACAATCTGAAAATTGCTTTCCTGGAGGCTGGCACTTGATCCTATCTCCTCCACAACATGAGATGATTTCCAAAGGAAGGGTGAAAGAGCAAAATGTGGAACCAGCTCATCTCCGAATAATGGCACATTAAGTTTCTTAATGAGATAACAAGGTGCAGAGCTGGATGAACACAGCTGACGCCTTCCTGCTCCTCTGATGCTGCTTGTCCTGCTGTGTTCATCCAGCTCTGCACCTTGTTATCTCAGATTCTCCAGCATCTGCAGTTCCTGCTATCTCTGAAGCTTCTTAATGAAGTGGTTTACATGTCAGTGAGGATGAGAATAAAATTAGTGCATGGTTGTTAAAGTTTTTCAGAAACTCCCTAGATTCTGGAACTGTCCCAGGGAATTGGAAGTTAGCAAATGTAACACTGCTGATAAAGAAAGGAAGGAGTGAAGAACAATGGAGCTACAGTGCAGTTAACCTGACAGCATTCTTTGGGAAAGTACTGGAATATATTTTTATGGATTTCTAACAATTCACTTAGAAATGCATGGCATTATTAGAAGGAGTTAAGATGGTTTAACAAGAGGAATTCCTGTTTGACAAATTAATTTTTTTTCAGAATGTAACTAATAGGGTATGTAAAGATAAGAAAAGTAGATATACTGTATCTGGGTTTCCAAAAGGCATCCAATGAGGTGTAACACTAAAGGAAAACACACAATAAAAGGGATCATGGTGTTGGGGTAATGTATCAGCATGGATGGGGAATTGCTTAATGGAAAGGAAGCAGAAAGTAGGAGTAAATGGTGAACTTCAAACTGGGAGACCGTGACTAGTGGAACGCCACAATGATTAGTGCTGGAGCCTCAGCTACTTATAATCCATATTAATGAGTAAGATGAAGGGATACAGAGTGGTGTATTTAAATTTACTCACAGTACAAATCTAGGTGGCAATGTAAGCTATGTGGGGGACACAAAGAGCTGGCATAGGTTAAATGAGTGGGTAAAATGATGGCAGATTAAGTATAGTGTAAAGGGGTGGAGGGGGTGGTCATAAGAATAGAAAAGTAGAATTTTGTTTTTAGAAAGGCATGTTGTGAGAAACCTGAGTGCACTGAAATAAGGAATATAAAATATGCAGGTATAACAAGCAGTCAAGAGGTAAATGGTGTGTTGATTTTTATTACAAGGGGGTTAGAATACAAGAATAAAGAGGTTTTGCTGCCATTGCAAGGGGCTTTGATGAGACTGCACCTGGAGTACTGCGTGCTAATTTGGTCTCCATATTTAAGGAAAGATGTACTTGCATTGGAAGTGAAGGTTCACTAGATTGGGCCCTGGGATGAAAGAGTTATCATGTATGATGATTGGCTATGCAAACTGGGCCCATTCTCTTTGGAATTTAGAAGGAACAGGCTTGATGGGCCGATTGGTCTACTCCTGCTCTGATCATTTGCATCTGAAAGAAAATCTTTTTAAATTTCTGACTGGGGCAGAAATACACTGTAATGACTAAAAGGACAAATATTTCTGTATAGTTATATATACCAATGGAAAGGAACAAAGTCTATGGAAAAGTTAATCAAACTGTCTTTCGTTGTACATTAAGATAATTTGGAAAAACAAGTTACCTGGCTGGTTATCAGGGCTCCCATTTCAATTAGAAGTCTGATGCAGGAGAACAGTTGTTCAGCTTTGCACTGTAGCTCATCCTGCCTCTGTGGTAACAGGTTAGGATCATAGCACAGTTCCCGAAAAACAGAGTTATGAGAAATGACAGCACAATGCAGAGGTGTAAGCCCTGAAACACAAGGGAATTCAAAATGAAAATAATCATGTGGCAAACAGACCATCAAAAAACAACTTTTATTTGTTTCGTTCTGATAATTATTTATCACAAAACTTAACTGTCAAAAGTACTCATACACTTTTTGACTTGACACTACTGATTTGTTTTAAAGTAAGGCTTTCTACATAAGTATTGCACTATTAATCATTGGGCAGCCAAAGTTTAAAACCTTACCAAAACAAGCCTGATCTTGCAACATTCCAGGTAAGGAGGTAAACATTAATTTATTTTTGTTACGTTTTATTGGATTGTTTTAGGGATATCTGGGCAGTTAAACATTTTGTTCAGATGAGGAAATAGAACAGCTGGCAACAAATCTCCAACAATTATGGTCTTTGTCTTAGCTTATGTAAAAGAGCAAGGGTAGTTAGGACAGTGGTGTGTTTTGATTGTATTTTAGATATAAAGCTTAGATTACTAGATCTTTCTCTGGTTGGAACTAGATGTGCTCAGGGCAGGTTCAACATTCCCAAGGAACTGAAATGTGACATTATTTGCAAAGTAATCTGGGATGCAGCATATTCCACCGGATAATGAGCCAATTCACCACTGAGGCATGTAATATCATGGAATGCAATCTTATTATTCCTGTCCTTGATGGACAATAAAAACTCACTGCCAGACCAGACAAAAACACTATAAATCAAGTTTAAGAAGGAGCAGTTAGATAAACAGAAGCAAAAAATATAGAAAACAACAGGTCACGTTGCACGCAATATCTGAATTAACCATAACACCTTTTAAAGCGATAATCACAGAATTGTCATGGAACAGAGGAGGTCATTCAGCCCTTGTCCTTGTAATAGCTTTTCAAATGAGTGTCATTGTCTAGCACCAGTCTCCTGATGTTTCCCCATTTCCCCACACAGTATTTCTTTCCAAATAATCATCTAATGCTGTCTTGAATTGCATCAATTGAACCTGTCTCCATTACATTTCCAAAGTCAGAAGTCACACAGCACCAGGTTATAGTCTAACAGATTTATCTGAAATCACAAGCTTTTGGAGCACTGCTCCTTCATCAGGTCAAGTTGAACTATAACCTGACGTGTTGACTTCTGACTTTGTCCACGCCAGTCCAACACTGGCACCTCCATGTCACATTTCCAGGCAGTGCATTCCATATTTTAACTATTTGCGGAGTGAAAACATTTTCCTTGCATCACCCTTGCTTCTTTTGCACATCTTTTTTAACTCTATGCCTTCTCATTCTTGTTCCTTTAATATGTTAATAATGTGCAGGGCTTTCCAAAATGGGGATTCAGACCCCAAGTGTGGTCACAAGATGTAATTTTGTGGTCTGGAGCTCTGAGGCAGTAATGGCTGCCATTACTGACCTGAATTATAACAGCTACAATCCTTCTTTAACATATCCCTGCTCTCACAAAGAGAGCTTGTGCCAATTTTTGAATCTGAAAATAGGGTCACAGAATGAATAGTTTGGACAGTACTGTTGTAGACTCACTTGACACTAACCCTTTCAAGTTGGGCTAGGCACCTATCAAGTTCTCAATATAGTTGGACATTTGCAATGGAGCAAAAGCTTACCACACTTTATCTGATTCAAACCCTTCTCTGGCTGTAGAGCTATCAATCAAAATTTACTTGAGAGGTGGCAGAGAAACCTTTGTTGAATTTTATTGAATCACATGACTCATATTCAAGACTAAGCATCTTCATGAAACTTGTTAGCAGGATTGCACAGAACTGTAGAATGGTTGGAGCACAGCTGACCGTTCAGCCTGCCATGCTGTTGCTGGCTCTCTGAAGGAGATATTCCTCTGGTGCCATTCTTTGTCATTTCTCTGTAACTTCACAAACTTTATGCTCCAATTCCATTTTGCATGTTTCAATTGAACTTGCCTACAGCTTCATTTTCAGGCAGTACGTTCCAGATCCTTGTCACTTGCTGCATGAAAATAGTTTTGCTTCATGCTGCTAGTTTTGCCAATTACTTCAAACCATGTCCACTGGTTCTTGATTCTTCCACTATTGGAACATGATTGCCTGTTTTAATTGATATGGGTTGAGAGATGAATATTAGCCAAGGCACTAAAAGAACTTCCTAACTCTCAGTTTAAATAGTGTTAATGGATATTTTATGTTCACCGAGGAGGGTGGCTGAAGCCTAAGTTAACGTTTTGCCCAAAAAGATGACACTTTGGCATTGTACTGGAGAATTAACTTGGAATAGTACTCATGTCCATGTGGTGGAGTTTGAACCTCATGGTTCACAAATACTACACCAAGCCACAGCCGACTCTGGAGATGGCCTTGATTGTAAATTAGATCATGGAAGATTGTTGGGGTTGAGAAAGTGTAATTTATTTTGCATTGAATCCATATTGTACCCCATTTGGGAATACTCAACACAAGCAGTGTGTGCCTGAAATGGCAATTTCTCCCATTCCCAACACTGACTACTCTTATGTTCTTGGTGGAGAACCACGGATGATGGAAGAGGGTGGCTCTGATTGATTGGATCCTGTTGTAGCTCAAACTCTAATCAATACTTCCTCCAGGCATGAGTTCATCAGGATCTAAATGTCTAAAGATAAGTAAAGGCAGCACTTTGGGGAGCAATTTTCACTAAAATCACTTGACTAGTAATCTACTGTGGATTGAAAGGGATTTGCACGCACTCCCATCGAGCTCATTTGAACGATAAAATTCAGTGAGAGTTAAAACAAAGCAACTGATCTAACGATATTACCTGACCCTCTGTGATTTTCAGCACTTTTTGTTGTCAAGAAACACTGCTCCCCTGAAATGTTTTTAATTTGCCCTGTTTAATGCAACTATCCCACAGGGAAAAAATATGAATGACACGTACTGGTCAGACTTGTTTTGTATTCCTCAGAACAGTGCTCCTGTATGATGAGTATATTCATTTTTAAGAATGACTGTATCATTTACTGGTTTTTCATGTCACCAATCTATCATGTCACTGTTTGGCCTGTGAGCACTAAGAAATGCTAATCATAATCTGTGAAATCTTTCAAATTGCTTTCCTTGTAACACATGAGCAACTTTGGACCTGTTACAAAAGAACTGAGAAGCAGGGGAGCATTTAACAATAATTTTTTGCTCTTCATATAAATTTGGTTAATTAGAAGGAGCTGACTCAAATTGAAATTGGAATTAAAACATTCCTTCTGCTACTTTTGTTAAAATTAGTTGTTCATTTAGCTTTGACAAAACAGGTCTTTGAATGATCTGAGACAACAAGGTGCAGGGCTGGATGAACACAGCAGGCCAAGCAGCATCATAGGAGCAGAGAGGCTGACGTTTCGGGAATGATCTGAACTGAGTTCTACTGTAGTAACTTTAGGTGAGGTCTGGGTCACAATAAATTCAACTTCAACCTGTGTTACTGTCAGAAACAGGATACCTTCCAGCCCAAGTTAACAATGGCTTGCAAACTATCTCGGACCACACCTTATCAAAGAATTCACAGTCTCTCTTGTCACAGCTACAAAGGTATACTGCTTTAGTTCTTGCAAATTTGAAGTGGATCTTTTTACTTTGTGGGAACCACAATAAAATTTATTAGGTTGCTATTTGAAAGCTTTTTTTCTGGTTACAGGAGGCAGATTCTAGTAGACATATTGCAGATTCATTTGGCAGAATTTTATATCGCACTGGGGTTTCCACCCAAACCCCCCACAAAATTCAGAGACAATCTGACCTACACACTGGGAGGTTACTCAGATATTTAATGCATGGCAGGTTGTTAACTGCCTCAGGGTTAGATCTGCACTCCCATGTGGGGAGGAAGCCCCATTCTAGAAGGATGTTATTAAATTGGAAAGGATGCAAAAAAGATTTACAAGGATGTTACCCAGGACTGCAGGGTCTGAGTTATAAGGAGGCAAGATAGGCTGGGATATTTTTCCCTGGAGTGTAGGAGGCTGAGGGGTGACCTTATAGAGGTTTATAAAATCATGAGAGGCATGGATAAGGTGAATAGCCAAGGTGTTTTCCCAGGGTAGGAGAGTCCAAAATGAGAGGGCATAGGTGAGAGGGGAAAGATTTAAAAGGGATCTGTCAGGTGGCCATTGTTAAGGAATAAATGTTATTGCTTTTAGCAAAGAACAGGTAGATAGGGGTTCTGTCTGGCTAGATCTCAGCCAATCTTTCCACCCTTGAAACCATCTGGCTTAAACCGGCTAGCTCCTCATCAAAATACGTACCTGGGGGCCATTCACATTCTCTCATTCCTCCCAGTTACTTGGGCATGCAGGACATCATGTGTGAAAGGCAGCATTGAAGATGTCTGGAGAGTCAACGGTGGTGTGGTGAAATTTAATGGTGAAGATACTGCTGTGTTTAATTTGAGCTAAGGGACCATTCCATCCTTTTTAACTATATTTGTTTGTTTTTATGATAGTTTTCAACATTTTGGTCTTGCCCTGCATCATGCACTGATGGGCTTCCTAACCAGAAGAGGAGGAAGATTTATAGAGTTCAAACTGCAGAAGAGATATTTCCTCGGATAGTTCCAACTCTCCTTACCTGCAGTCAAATATTAGTTTAGCAGATGATTACATGGGAAATGGGAACATGAATAGGCCCTTCAATCCTGTCCCACCATCAGACAAGAACATGGCTGATCTTCCCCAGACATCAATTCCTCTTATATGCCAGCTCAGCATAGCCATCAACTCCCCGATATTTCAAAAATCTGTCTACCTCCTCTTTAAATACTTTCACTGTAAGCAGAGGCACGTCTTACTAATAACAGATTGAATATTATTGGTTTAAGCCTGACATCCAGAGATAGCAAGAACTGCAAATGCTGGAGTCAGAGACAACACAGTGTGGATCTGGAGGAACACTGCAGGTCAGGCAGCATCAGAGGAGAGGAAAGTTGATGTTTCGGGTCGGGATCCTTCTTCAGAATTGCCTGCTCTGCTGTGTTCCTCCAGCTCCATACTGTGTTGTCTAAGCCTGAAATCCACTGTGTTGATTGCTTCATTTGAAGTACGATTCTCAATGATGTTTTACGAAGGAAAGCATTCTAGAGAAAGGAATGGTCAACATATTCCACTCAGGCACAAAGATGTTATTTTTGCAAGCATAGGCACAATGACCCAAAACAATTGGAATGAACTTTCTTTACAGTTTAGGTTAGCAGAGAATATCAGGACAAGCTTCTGGAGCCTTCCTACCATGTAGCCAAAGGGATAGGGGTAGCATAGGGAAAAGGCATTGCAGTGAATGATCAGGCATTTCCAAATTGACTGGTGGAGCAGGTTTAAGGGGATGAATGGCCTACTCCTGCTCCTGTGTCCCTAAAAGACTGGCACCTCTGCAGCAGTAATAGTCATCTGCAGTCTGATGCTTAGGTCTTAGTGCCAAGCTGTAGCTCTTAACAATGGGGGCTGTGACAAGGAGAGATACAAGAGAGTCTCAGTATCTTCAACCACTTCCCTATCTTCACTTCAGTACGTATTAGACAAAGGGTCACCTGCTAAATTAATCTGTCATTCCCTTTTATCTTGTATCCTCTTAGTCCCGCACCCCCTCAGTAACAGCCAAGAATTCAGTATTTTTTAATGCCCAGTGTTGCTGGTTGTAGGTGGTAAAATTTGCATACATGCAACTTTCTATCCCCACCACTAGGGGGTAGGTCTTGACTTTGTGTGACAGCCTAAAGGTGGTGATGGTCTCTGGAAAGTTATTGAAAATTAAAACCTGAGTGCCATGTGAAACTGACTGTCTTTTGCAATCAAAATCAAAATGTACCTCTTCAGGTTCTTTGCAATTGCTGAAGCCGCACCTGAAACTAAGATAATGAGTTGGCTGCAAAACTGGATGTAGTATGACAATTTATTTGGATTTTAGTCTATCCAAACCCTGCCAAATACTTTTGTATGTGAAATTGGTCTGGGCGCCAATGAAAAATGATTCACAGTGCATCAGAAACCTGCTTTAATATGAATGGAAAAAGGATATTGGGTAGGCAATGAAAGGGTTGCAAATTTACTGCTGCATGTCCTGTTGCCAGTTGACTGGAATCTCAATTTCATTGGGTCCGGGCTACAACAATATTGTGAAATTTAGCTAGTGAGCAGAAAGGACAAACAAATCAGACCAGTGGTTGCATCGTTTACATTCAAACATGTATATGCAGCCTACTCTAAAAACTGGACTGTTCCATTGCCAAAGGGCAAAAACTTTGATGTGGATCTTGTCACACAGATCGAAAGCAAAGTTCACATAAGATAATTCAGTCAGAATTGTGCATGAAGTTCATACCTTCAAAATCCCTGGTTTCCAAGTTCACCAATGTTCCAGCTGCTATGACCATCTGCAAAAACAGACGCATTTTATGGAAGATCAGATTTGAAGTATCAATTCAATATTCGACTTTTTTTTGTGTGTCCATTTGAATTGACTTGTCCAGCCCACATCTGGGATAACCTCACATATTCTAAGCTTTGAGATCATTCAAAAGTTTGATGCCTGGTTCTTAACTCAAACAAAGTCCTTAATGTGAATATTTTCATCGTTGTTTTCAAATTTGTCCATGGACATCCCTTCCTGTATCTGGTCTAGCCCCACAACTATTTCAGATATCCATACACCTCCAATTCTAGCTTCTTGAACATCACCCATTAGTAAATGTAGTCTTCAGTTGCCACTTCACTAACTGCTGGAATTCCTTTCCTATACTTCTTCATCTCTTTACCTTGCTTTCCTTCTTCAACATGCTCCTTCAAACATACCTCTTTGATCAGATTTTTAATCATCTGCCCTAATATCTCCTTATGTAGCTCACTGTCATACTTTGTTTCCTGAGAAGTACCTTGGGATACTTTATGATGTTACAGGTGCTAGATAAATAAGTTGTTGTTGCATTCCATGGAAGCATCCAAGCAATGTCAACCGATGCGTTAAATTCCAGGTCAGTATTACCTGCATTTCATTTGCTTCATTTACACAGACCTGGTAACATTCTGCGTTAATATCAAATAGTTAAGGTTAAAAATGAAACAGGTAATTAATGGCAATTGATTAATTAATTGTCTGTAACTTCAAAATAGTCTATCAGGAGGCAATAGCTAGGACCGAACATGGAGAGAACTGAGAGACTTTCAGTGATAACTTTGTGTCTGGTGCCTGCTTCACCTATAAGCTTGGTTCCATTTAACACGGTGGGGACTAACTGTTCATAGCAAAAATAAAAGTTATTTCCTGAAATGATGGTTGTCTAGTTTTAGTGGAAGTGTTCTGCTGCTGCTACAGGTAAGTTTTGTCCCCATATATTGTTTAATTTCTTACGCAATGTTGAGAGAGAAAACACCCACATCCCACAAGACAAAAAAAGGAAACTAGTAAAAGGAGAGAAATAAAGAACGTAACAAGTGTGTAAGAAATTAGGAGAGTAATCAATGGATGTCACTTTGCTGACTCTTATGGACAGTTCTTGAATTAATTTTCCACTAAATTTCTCTCCTTTATTCTCCTCTGGTGATCAGCGCCCAGGTTGTGTTCCATTAGCAGGAGTTGCCTTCCAGTGCATAATCCGAGTGGACATTAAACTTCTGTGAAACTTGGCAGCGAGTGTGAGCAAGTTGCTCAAATATGGGTGACAACACTACCGAGTCTAAAATTGCTATGAGTTAATTTCTGCATACTTCCTAAGGGTGGTTGGATAAGAAATACACTCAGGATTCCCACTGACTTCTCTTCATGTAACCATAACATCTGAGACATATCTATAACTCATACAAATGTAGGATATGTAACATTCTCCCTTTACTTCCTCATATATCACTGTACAGGTTCTTCAATTCATTCCGTGTGACAATGAGAATTACATTCAAGAAGGCACTGGATGATTATTTGGATAGAAATGCTGTGCAACAATATGGGAACAACAGGGAGAAAGCACTAGCTAACAGAGTCAGTGCAGACATGATGGGATGAATGATCTCCTGCACCATAATAATTATGATTCTCTGACATATACTTTCTTAATCTAACATTATGTAATGAAAGATACGATTGAGAAAAAGAGAGAGTAAACACAGCAGAAAAATAAAAAAAACAAACTTATAAAATGTTTTCAAGAAAAATCTAAGTAGAATGTGCAGCTGGAATGAGACCAAACAATTTAAATTGTTTCCTTTTTGAGACATAGAAATGGATTGGTATTTGTTCAATAGATACTTTTGCTGTTAAATTCTAGCCCTAACGTACAGCGAGATTTTATGTGTAATTAATGTGCAAATCCACTGGGTTCTTAAGATTAATTAGGAGGCTGAGGGTGAGGTGCTAGTTGGGATGTAACTTGTAAAGTACATTTTGGAATTATATCTTAATTGGTTGCCTCCTGTAAGATTTTCCTGTTAGTGTGTCTCTGACACTGAAACGATCCCAATCATAAGAAATTAAGAACACCGGAAATAGGAGCAGGAATAGGCAATTCAGCCCCTCAAGCCTGTTATGCCATTTAATACAATCACGACTGATATTATCTCAGCCTCAGCTCCTCTTTCCTGCCTGCTCCCTCTAGTGATTGTAATGAGATCAGCCAGGTGGACATAATAGAATGAGTTCCCTGATTGGGACTGTTAACCTGGTCCAATCAGGGAGCCCTGCCTGACAGATATAAGCAGAAATGTCAGCAGCTCTGGTCACTCTGACAATGCCAGACCAATATCGAGTACTATGCATGTGTAAATAAAGAGAGTGACTTGGTACCAGGATACTGGCCTCTGTGGAGTTACTCCCCATAACTCTTCAACCTGTTTGTAACTAAAAATCTATCTGCTTAAATTTACTCAATGTCCTGGCATCCATCACACTCTGAGTAGTGATTTCCTTGAGTGAAGTAATTTCTCCCCAACTCTGTTTTAAATTTGCTACCCCTTAAATTAAATCGATAATCTTTCTTTCTACATTGCCCCACAAGAGGGAACATCCTTGATTATAAACAGTGTTGGTAAGATTCCGCCCTTTGTATGGAAGTGGCATTTTGCTTTGATGTTGCATGTGGCAATGCTAGCTGGATAGTAGCTGAGCTTTACAACGGAGGATAATTCTGGCATTGACTTAGTTTCATACTGTGTAAGCAGATCTTAGGGGAACGCCAATGGTAGCTACTGACCTTGGGAATCCCAAGTTAGAGAAAGGAATAAATGAGAAGCAGATCCCACTTCTGATAACTCTTTCCCATTGGGAAAGCAGGGGATAAAGGCAGGACTGACTTGGATATATTACTCTTTCCCAATTATTTAACAACCTGTTAACACTTACCAAAAAAGGTTACAACTTGGAGTCGCTTGAAAAACCTGGGGTAACTGGTGCTTGTGAACCTGTGTCCCAGATTCAGCATTTTCAAGAGAAGTTGATGTAAGATTAATAACAAATAACCTACTGTAAAAACACCAATTCTACCAGTGTTAAAGCCGTAACCATTTATACAAATATTTAACTTCACATCACGTGTGTCAGAAAGTTGCAACAAGCAAAGATTGCTGCAAACGTTTACAAATATCTCAAGGAATGTGATATACAAACCTGAACAAAAATCCATTCCTTGTACAAATGTTTTGTTCGGTGAAACTACACTATCAATCTCAGCTGCTGGGGGAAAGTAGTGGCGGAACATTAAAAGCTTTTCCTGCTCTCAATAAAAGCCTCCTGACAGCTGCTACTGCCTCACATCATCCAAACTGCCTGATTTGCTTTCTGTCCCCTAAGAGTCCTCTCTCAGTTTAGCTTTGTGGCAATTCTTTCCTGCCCCTTTTGCACAAACGAACACTCTTCCTGTCTGGCATTGGCAGGCCACCATTCTTATTGTCCTATGTCCCAGGAGAGAAAATATTTCTGGCCTTGAGCACATATCATCAGGTGCATGGACACAGCACTCACATTCCCAGAACATTCCTTAACTTGTATGCTTCAAGACCAGATCAGATTTCAAGATCAGGCCTACCAGCGATGCCCACATCCCATAGATGAACGAAAAGAACATGGTTGCCTTCCACAGTAGGCTAATGGGATTGGGAGGGACTTACATAGCTCACCTGGCTGGATGTTTGGTTTGCAATGCAGAGTGACACCAACAATATAGGCTCAATAATATACCATTTGAGGTCACCATGAAGATCCCACCTTCTCAGCTTCAGCCCTCACCTGAAACAAGGTGACCCTCAGGTTAAAATCACCACTAGTTATCTACTCTCTCATGACAGAGCAAAACACTTGGACTGTGGCAACTTTACTGAGGTTGAAGGAGGTGGGCAGTGAACAAAAATTCATTTTTTACTAAGATGAAAAGCTTTTCTGTATTATTTCCAAAACTTAACTTTTATGATTATCCCTGGAATCTTTTACATTGCAGGCAAACATTAGATAAGTACATTGAAATCCAATTCCTTCCAGCTATAAAAATAATTGCTGGCGGCACAAGTCTTTTAAATAAAAAGTGCAGTGCATGAAGGTCTGTTGCTGTTGAAATTCCCCGATAGCCTTGAATGTTTACAATGTGGATCTGACAGTCACTATGCAAATACTCTTGTAATCTGATTGCTGTGAAGAATGGAACAATTCTGATCCTTTCTGCAGTATTAATTTGAACATACATAAAGGTTTATAACCTAGTTAGAGACACAGAGAAGCAAGGCTGACTGGGTTCCAATGGCATTGCAGGAGCATTCTTTGTGTGTCAACTTGTGTTTTATTGTTTAATCCTTTGATCACTAATATTGACTCTTAGCCTATGGTTTAATACAGAAAAAAGACTGATTGAGCATGCTTCCCTCTCTGTCATTGTCTAGAACATTGTCTCCCAAATCTTTCCCTGCTGTGATCCTGTTTTAAGTCTTGAAACTTGTCATGACCCCTCAATGAGAACCAAGAGAGTGGCGACCGGTCAGAGAGGGAGTACAGCTGTTATAATTCAGCCAGAGTTTTCTGGCAACCTCGGTGCCTCAGAGCTCATGACCTCAAACTTCAGCTCACAACTCTTCTTTACAAATAAGGTGTGGAGCTGGATGAACACAGCAGGCCAGGCAGCATCAGAGGAGCAGGAAAGTTGACGTTTCGGGTCTAGACCCTTCTTCAGACCCGAAACGTCAGCTTTCCTGCTCCTTTGATGCTGCCTGTCCTGCTGTGTTCATTCAGTTCCACACCTTGTTATCTCAGACTCCAGCATCGGCAGTTCCTACTATCTCTACTTTACAAAGCCTTCTTCTAGAGTCCTTAGGTTTTCTTTCAGTGGCAGTGATTTAGCCTGAATGGGATTTCAAGATAGCCAAATGTATCACTCAAATTCTCAAAGTTTTGCAGCAGATGTTATGAGGGTCAGCATCACGGTCATTCCCATCAATGGATCCTGTATTCTGTCTGATCTGGAGTATACCCTTTATTACCCAAGATGTAGTTAAGTGATAAATAGACATGAGGCTCATCTCTGGGCTAGAAGACCTTGGTTCGAGTTCCACCCGGTCCGGAGGTGTGTCATGATGTCTAAAGCAAAACATTGCTCTAATAGCAGTGTTACATGTTTCACTGCAGGGAATATGGCTGTCTTTAGAGGGTGCCAATGATAGAAACTCTATTGAAGATTTAATCAACAAATTGTTTTATTTAATGTAAAGTACACAAAACAGAATATAGTTTTCACAGTGAGAATTTTAGTTTGCTCCTTTTTTATGCAAAATGACAAAGATTTAGACTGTTAGATTTAGGATGATTCTCCATTATGATATGAAGGGACAGGACAAAATGGTTTGGTTTGCTGAGCAGTCAGGCATGAGAAGTGAAGGGACCTTACTTTACAACACTGCAAACTTTGTCTGTAAAAACATTTGGAACGTGCTGTTCAAGAATGGTTGAGAGAGGGTGAAGGACAGAGTATTCAAACTCAATGCTATGATAGGGTCTTGATGAAACAACTTAACTTTTTCTGTCCTTCAATTTTGCATATCCAGAAAGCATAGGACTCAGCTGATCACACTACTGACAACTCTGGGCCAATAGCAGCCCAGAATTCACCTGGGTGCAGGCTTGATCCCAGACTGCTGTTACTCAGTAGGTGCTGATAGGTGGGGAATACCTGACGGTTAATGTTTATGTTTACAGATGCTGGAGGACTTACCATTCAGCTGCAGTATTTTTGTTTACATTTCAGATTTCCAGTAATTGCAATTTTGTCTTTTTAACACAGTGAGTGCCCGTGTGTGTTCACTGCTACAGGGAAACTGCAGAAATACTTTGGGAAGGTTTCAATCAGAAACCATTCAATTTCTGATTGAAATGCAGTATCTTGGTGCAATCCATTATATGTCTGGGATAGTATTAACAAATTATAGTTAAGATACCAAGCCATAGCTTTCATTATCAGTAGAGAAGAAGTAACAGATGTGCATACCTGAATGATACTCAGATGGCCATAGGTAGCAGCCAGATGTAGAAAGGTTTGTCCTCTGTCGTCAACAGCATGCAGGTCAGCACCGAACATAATCAGATCCCGTACAATCAGAGGCTGATTTGCGACCACAGCAACCAATAGGGGTGTCTGTGAATATTATAAGAGGATTTACTCTGTAGCCAGTATTGATGTAACAGGAACAGAATTAGGCTGTTTAGCCTCTTGAGTCTTTGCCCTCATTCCATTAGATCATGACTGATTTGAACCTCAGCTCCATTTACCCATCTTGATGTCATAAATTTTAATCCACCCCACTAAGTATTTTTTGAGGGTGAAACTGTTCCAGATTTCCACTACCCTTTGTGTCCTTACGTCACCCTTGTAGAGTCTGGTTCTAATTTTAACATTACACCAGCTACTTTCAGACTCATTCCTTCACTATCACCGCTCCAAAAGAAAAACCGACTTATCTCTATCTACTTTATCGAATTCTTTCATCTTCATTAATATTTTAATTAGAACACTATACTCAGGGAAGACAAGTCAATTCTATGGAACCCATCCTGAAAATAACTAACTATCTCTACTCTCTCCAAAGTCATCATATCCAGTTTAAGTGGGGTCTTGAGGTACAGTGGTAATATGCCTATCTCTGGTCCTGAAGGTCCAGGTCCAAAGTCCTACCTGCCCAAAATGCATGTCAGGTGGTACTTGAACTCGGCTTGTTACATCTCAATGAATTTGTTAAACATGACTTCCCTTTCACAAAACCATATTGCCTGTACCTTATGCCATCTTTGTTAATGGATTCTAGCAGCTGTAAACCTAACTGGCCTATAATTTCCTGCTTAAGGTCTCCTTCCATTTGTGAATAATGATGTTACATCTGTTTGGATTTATAATCTCTAATGTATTCATGTCCTTTAATGGATGTAGGCCACTAGGTCTAAGGATTTGCCAGCCTTTCATCCCATTAGTGTTCTTAGTACTTTTTCTCAACCTGATGGTCAAGCTACCACAGTCAATTGTTGTTTAAAAAAAAAGTCTGGGCACTTAGAAACAGAGAAAATAGGAGCAGGAGTAGGCAATTCAGCCTGTTTCATCCATTAGGAAACGCAATCTGCCCATCCCTACCTGGTCTGGCCAAGTGTCACCCTGGAGCCACAGCAATGACTGTTAACTGCCCTCTTGGCTCTATGGGATTGGCAACAAACACTGACCTAACACTCCATGAATGAATAAACAAAAACTTCATCAGCAACTAATTTATTGAAACTTCACTGTGCTGTCTCCAACTCATGTTGTTCTTAAATATGGAGATCAAATTGCACACAGTATTCCTGATATTCAGTTTAACCAAAGCCCTGTACAACCATAGTAAGACTATTTCCCCTGCAGTAAAGACCAGTAATCCATTTGACTTGCTAACAGCTCACTGTACTTGTATGCTAACCTTCTCCATTCCTTCTACATGTGTATTCACTGAATCATTGAGCAATCTGTGCTGAAGGCTGATGACTCTTTGCAAAAGCACAAGCTTCTTAACCTAGTTCCATGCTGACTTAATCTTTATTCGTGCTTCTGCTACTGTCCCACCTATGTAACTCAAACAATCAGACATAGTCCAGTTATTTCATTATCTGACAAGCTGTCATAAAATCTCTATTTATTTCAAAAGTGAGAAGACATTTCTCTAAGCATGGTGTGGTGATGAACTTGCCTTTAAGCCAAATGTCAATCTGACAACACGCTCCCAAACTCTTTCAGGTCTCTATGAAGGGGATAATGTGGGGTGGTGTGAGGAGGTGGGGAGAGGAATGTCAAAATTTTGTAAGAATGGAGCGATTTTATTCATATTACACTGTCCCAATAACACATCCTAACACTTTGTTTGCTTTTGCTTTAACCTTGCAGCACTAGTCCAGAAACCAAAGCAAGAGTAGGCCATTCAGCCCCTTGAGATTACTCCACCATTCAATGGCTGATTGGTTGATGGCTTTACCTCCACCTTCTTGGCTGAACCTTCCCAATAGCCTTTGAGTCACTTGAAGATTGAAGTCTGTCTAACATTTAGAGAATCACGTTCTTCATATGGGAAGTACATTTATGGATTTAGACAATCAAAAACTGTAAGACTATTTTGTGTAATAGTTCAGGCAAAATTATTTCATAAGAATGTGTTTTAAAGTTTGTATACCTTTCCCCGGTGTTCTTTAGTATCCAATCGTCTGAGCTCACGCATTCGTTCAGCAGCTGCATAGGCATGTTCCCGCATTCCTTTGGCTGCGTAGATGTGAAGGATTCTGAAATCAAAATTGGGCAATTGCTAATTACAATTGTTACATAACTTTATTTCTCCTATTACAGTTTAACAGTTTGGCACCCAGTCTTTAGAGAGATCTTCCAGTGGGACAGAATATTAAAGCATCAAAATACTAGTGTCACAGCAAGGAGGTATCAGCATGGCTTTCTAAAACTGATGCAGTGAACTGAGCGAAGGATGAGTGTATTATCATGGCGAAGACAGAGAGCCAGATGAATCATTGTATTTAGGGTCGCCCTGATGTATCTTCCTTAGTAGAACAGAAGGACACACAAAATTGCAGCAACAGTAGGCTGTTCAGCACCTCAAGCCTGCTCCACCATTTAGCAAGATAATGGATCTCCTAACTGCAATCTTAACTCTTCTTTCCTGCCAAACTGCACATCTCCAAAATAAAACTTTGAAGATCGAAAGCTGTCTAACACAGCCTTGAATATTCAATGAGCCAGCCTTACTGTTCTCTGAAGTTGTAAGTACTGTAAGGATTCAATAGAACATAAGAGCTAAGAACAGGAGTAGCCAGTTCAGCACCTGAGCCTGCTTTGCCATTTAATACAATTATGGCTGATCTCATCTCGGCTTCAAGTTTACTTTTCTGCCCACTCCCCATAACCCTTCAACCTACTACGGATTAAAATCTGTGGTCTCTCTCTTCCTTAAATTAAATTCTTCCAAGAAAAGAAATTTCTCCTCCTTTTCACCTGAATTAGGGAGAGTCCTTATTTGTAAACTGCACCGAGATAGATCTAACTTCCCTCCCTATTTGGGGAACTATCCTGTCAAAATCTTCCTTGTCTAACCCCCTCAGAATCTTGAGTTCTACCAAAATCATTCTCCCAAACTCCAGTGATTTATAGGCCCAACCTTTCCTCAATTCTTTCATCTCAGAAATCAACCTGGTGTATCTTCTCTGTGCAGGTAAATTCCTTTTTAACTGAGCTGTCGAACTCTGTGACAGATTATGACTTGTGTTCTGAACTGCAGGGCAGGGGTGAATATGAGGAAAAAAGGAAAGGAAAGAGAAAGAGTCACAGTAACACTATTTCTAAGACAGTTGCAAAGAGAGCTAGTTGGGTGACAATCCCACTCATAGAATATCATAGAACCCCTACAGTGTGGAAACAGGCCCTTCAGCCCAACAAGTCCACACCGACCCTCAGAGCATCCCACCCAGACCCATCCCCATGGAACCCACCTAATCTACACATCCCTGCACACTATGAGGGAATTTAGCATGGTAAATCCACCTAGCCTGCACATCATTGGACTGTGGGAGGAAACCGGAGCACTCAGAAGGAACCCATGCAAACACAGGGAGAATGTGCAAACTCCACACAGTCACCCAAGGGTGGAATTGAACCTGCGTCCCCAGTGCTGTGAGACAGTAGTACTAACCACTGAACCACCGTGCCACTCCATCAATTTCAAATATTAACTTAGCCCCTTTTATGGTTCTGTGTGGTTGATCACACGCCCAGGCCTCTGGTGATATAGCTGTAAGGCTCATGTGAACAGCTCGATCTGATATTTTTTAACCCACAACTGACATACAGAAACATTTGGATTTGGTCTTATTTTCTCCATCAACAGCAACAGCTTGCATTTATACCAGACCTTTAACATAGTAAAGCATCCCAAGGCAATTCACAAGAGGGTTACCAAACAAATTTGGTTTTGAGTCACCCAAGCCACAGAGGGAGATATTAAAATAATTGGCCAAAGAAGTAAGACACAAGGATGCTTTAAATAAGAACAGAGCCCGAGAGAGATATAGATGATTAGGGAGGGAATTCCAGAGCTTGGCTTCCAGGTAGCAGAAAGTGCAGTTCCAATGGTGGAGCAATGAAAATTACATCACAACTGGAATCATGATTCCAAGGTATTGTAGATATGTGGTTGGATTTTACACCCTGGAAAGAAATGCTGCTTTGAATAAAATGATTTGTTACAAAGCCTGTCGCTATGGCAATACCACAACAAGGCTGGGTCATACTGCCTGGCAGACTGACTTCATATCAGTGGACAGGAAGTAGCAGCCTTGAGAGTTGAAGGCCAGTCTAGTTGGCTGGTATCTTTAACAGTCCTAACAGAAGCAGCAGGTTTAACCCAGTGGTGAGCACTTTCACAGTAAAAGTCCCAGACTGTTACAGCATGAGGGATCATGCGTTGGGAGAGTGGACAGATTTTTGAGGGCAAGTGGGAAGGAACAAAGGGAGGGATGACAAGTTGGAAGGTGCCCCCTGATGTGCATAGAGCATCTTTTGCTAATTGCCTCCTTTCTTTCTGATTTTTCAAAGAAATCCTTTCAAAACTAGCCTTTGAACTTTGTTCACCTGTCACTGCCCATTAGAGCACAGGTGATGAATTGTGACACCAAACCATGATCATTTAGCATACTGTTCACTTATAAATGAAACCCTAGGATTCTTGTGGCACAATGGTAGTGTTCCTACCTCTTGGCCAGGAGACTTTCAAGACCCACCTACTCCAGGGGTGTGTAATGACATCTTTGAACAGGTTGATTAGAAAGTATAAATCAAACTGCTTTTAAAAATCAACCTCTACAAAGTCATTACTACCATTTTTTAATAGTTGCTCAGAAAGTATATTTTAAGAGCTTTTCCATATTCACTTTGCTCTGCTTAAGTGGATTGAGGGCCTTAATTGTTATTAAATTGAGCAGTTAAAGGTTTCAATAGGCTCAAGGATAGGCAGCTTGCTGGGCAGTTCACTCACCCTCCTGTACAGAGCACAGCTCAGGGGGTGGATGGGAAACAGGGGGCCTGTTAATAGGCATCTTTTACGTGGGTCCCCCAACCAAAACAAGCGTGCCAGCAGCCAAAAAAATCTAGCCCATGAAATTGCGTCAAACTTTCTTAATTCTCCTCGCCCATGTTTGATGATTTCTATTGAACGATGGTAGAAACTGAGTTGGAGGATTCCTAGTCAATTAATAAGTGAGTTCGGAGTTGCCATGAGCTGGATACAATCAATAACTTAGGGTTTGTTTGCCACTGTGATGTTAATTCATTCTCTGCATATGAAACAGTTTGAATTTTTGATCAATTTGTAGAGACAAATGTCAACGTGAATTTTCATCGGAAACAGCCGGGGTTAGATTTTTACCTTTAGTTCCCACACAGTATGAGACATTTTCCAAACAAACAAACTGTTCAGAGATGTTGTTATAATACTCTGGAGCCAAGTGAGATTTGAACACGGACCTTCTCAGAGGTAGGGACACTACCACTGCACCACGAGAGCCCCCCACCTTAGATAGCATTAGATTGTTCACTTTCAAGACGCACTCTTCACTTGCAGGGCCAACGTTTTATTGTCCATCTCTACATTCTGGAAGCAGATGATTGTAGATATTTTTATTCAACCCATTCAGATGTATCATGGCACACCTCTGCAGCAAGTGGGATTTGAAGCCAAGTCTCCTGTTTTAAAGATAGAGATACTACCACTACACCACAAGAATCACCCCTAGTCAGTATTAGATATTGTTAATCTTCTTGTTCAGACACGTTACAATACATGTTTAGGTCTGTTGGGACTTGAACCCAGACATAGGGGTATTATCACTGCAGCACAAGAGCCCTTCCTCGATAGTATTAGATTGCTCTCTCTTTATAGAATCCACATTTTTTTTTTGCATTGATTAATAAATGGGCATTTTAATTGAAACTAATTATTAATTGAATTTGGATCCTGTTTTGATTGAATAGCTCCAGGAGACACTGAGTTCAGAAAGGAGGGCAAAAGACTAGTTTACACAAAGACTGACAGCTACACAGAAGAGTTTATCACCAACTTTGCTTCCACTTGTATCTTAATATGCAGCCAAATCTCTTAGTGAGCTTTGTACCAAATTCCAAGACTTTTCTTTTAAAATGTAGGTATGAATAAAATGAAAGACAGTACAAATACGTGCATATGGTAACAGCGAAACTTGCAAACTGAAATTTTGTAAGTAAACCATCAGCAATTTTAACATAACTGGTATGGGAATCTTCCAGTTTTGTGCTATGGATATTTCTAAATGGATTTTCCTGACAATAATTCTTTTGTACAGACATTGGCAGTACATCAGGAGCCTAGGGTTTGTTGACAGTTAGCACCTGTATTGACAGTTGCTGGTAGCGCATTAAAAATGATCAAAATCATAAATCAGTCTCTCCTCTTCCATCGCCTATGTGCCTACAGAAAAAAGGTTTGTCAAAATTAAGTCGTAAATTACATCAACAATTAAGGATATTAAGAAATGTTGTAAATCAGGTGAGACTCATATGCTGCTTTTAAGACACATGAATTTCTCTTTTCTGTTTTGAAAATTATTGAAATCTCTTCATGACAATGACTCCCTGGAAATGTTACTGTGCCTTTACACTCACATTATCACCTTTGCTCCAATGTGAACCTGCTTCGAGTGTGCATTGTTTGCCAAAAGCCCCTAAAGGTCAGGTTGCTGACTTCCATCTGGTGAGAGTCCAAGTTGGATTGTCTGAATTTAAACTTGAATGCCTCAGTGCTCTGAGAACTAGGTCTTGGAGTGGGATAGATAATTTTACTTACACACGCTAGTTAGATTTTTGGCTTTTTCACCAGTTGTAAAATAGCCATTGTCACCTGGTAGCCTATTTTTGGTTTTTGTGACTTTGCTATGCTGCAGAAGGTGGTCAAGAAAGCTTAATGCTAATAATAGACACAATGAGGCAATGGGAGAATTTAATAAAAAGAGAAAAAGTATTCACATAATCAGACAATGCTAAAGGTAAAGTTCCCTCTCTGGAGATTTTGATTTCACCCATTGAGCTGACAACAGAATTATATAATGAGCTCTGTGTTATACTTTTATTATGTACATAACTCCACTTACGAGCATTTAACCGCTGATCATACTCATGTTACTGACAGTTGGATATATGCCAACAATGAACAGACTTAAATTAGCAATGTTTTTTGTAACACTTGAGTTGGAGATATTTTGTAACTGCTATGAATCTGAAGCAATATTGAATTACTTTCTTGACTAGTCTCTCTCACTTGAGAATTCAATGTTTTTAACTTGACTGCTTCACTCCTCATTCATACTACAGTTTCTGCATTGATGAAGGAAATTTTAGGGAATCTGGATTTGTTGGGTTTTTGGTTCTGTTTTATTTTATATCAGAATTTATTATGAATCCTGGCTTATCTCACTGAGACATCCAAGTGAATATCAATATTGGGATGATTATGTTATGAAATAAGAAAATTGATTAAACAAATTTATAACCGGTCATTGGGATTCCTCAATCCACTTTGCTGGCTGTACTCAAGGTTTCAATTTGCTCCCTCCGTAAGAATGTATGCACATCTTGTATTATCATACCATATTCTTTCTCATTCATTAATCTTCATAGATTGCAAGGAGCAGGTTTATTGAGGAAACAACAGCAGAGAGGTGTGACTAACATAAATAAAACAATCTCAATCTTAAACAAATCAAAGGGGAAGGAAGCTGTTGGGAGAGAAGATTCTGGCAAATTTCAACCTTTGTATTTTTTCAATGAAGTAACGCACAGGTAATGTATTGTGGCATTAAACTAGGATCATCTAGTTTACTGTTGGTTTGTTTATAAGTCAAATAATGTCTTAAATCAACTTCCACAAAAAGTTATTACTCCTACAATTTTTTTAAGTTTCTCAGAAATTGCATTTTAATGGTGTTTCTACCTTCACTTTTCTGTAAAACTGTCCAATGATTGCTATATACTGGGAACACAGGAACAGGAGGAGGCCATTCATGCCCTCAAGTCTGTTCTATGATTCGAATAGATTATGGCTGATCTGGGCCTCAGCTCCACTCACCTGCCTTGGTTACATATATCTTGGAGTCTTTACTGCACAAGAACCTATCAAACCCTGAAATAGAAGCTATTTTATTTAAAGAATAAGTTGAAAGTTGAACCGAAGGTTTCTAAAGAAAACCTCTACAATTCAGGTTTCTGAAGTTACTGATATAGAAGTGACTAGTGTTTGCAAAATGATTTATTTTAATTCCACTCTTCTCTGACTCAAAAACTCATGAGACTGAAGGAAGGCTGTGTGCAAATGTGTATTTATTTTGGTCTCTCTTTACATATGCTGTGAGATAACCCACCACTTATTGGCTTTTACAGGTGCTCTATTAGAACAAGACTAATCTTACATGGAGCACAAATACAATTGTAAATATTGCAAGAAGAATATTCTTTTTATCAATTGAATTAAAGCCATATTCTCTTTTGATTACGGTACTTCAACAATTGGGGCCAAGGTAAAATTTTTTGCTGACTACTCAAATGTTTCTGTTAGGATATTTTACACAGAATAAACAGCACGGAAACAGGCGATTTGGCTCAGCTTGTCTGCACTGGTGTTTATGATCCATGCTAGCTTCCTCCAACTCCTCCCTATTAATATTCTTCAACTCCTTCATGCTTTTACCTAGCTTCTGGGCTAATTGTCTCAAATATGCTTGTTGTAACACTCATATCATTTTCATTGGGTAAAGAAACCTCTCCTGAAGATCGTGCCAGATTAATCAGTGTCTAGAAGGCATTAATACCCTGTCTCAGAGACTTAGTTGTTTGGATTTTAAATCACATATATATTTAACATCCCCATATGGTAAGTTGCTGATCTCTGATAGAGTACCAACTTAACAAAGGACTGAATTGTAGAATCCCTACAGTACAAATAAAAGGTCATTCTCCCCATCAAGTCTGCATCAACCCTCCAACGAGCATCCCGCCTCCCACTCTATCTCTGTAATCCCATGTTTCCCATTCCCGCTAATCGACCTAGCTTGCACTTACCGGAACACTACAGGCAATTTCGCATGGCCAATCCACCTAACCTGCACATCTATGAACGGTGGGAGGAAACTGGAGCACCAGGCAGAAACCCACACAGACACAGGGAAAACGTATAAACTCCACACATATAGTCTCCAAGGCTGGAATCAAACCTGGATCTCTGGCACTATGAGGCAACAGTGCTAACTACTGACTCACCTTCCACAGCACCATATTGCTATGGAAGGTGAGTCAGTATCAGGCCAAACATTATTATTGGTTAACCATTAAGAGACAATATATTTCAGATTCCTGCTCTTCCTGACTCATCACTATGAGGAGAAAATAGGAGCTCAGAAATAGAAAAAGCACACATCTATTAGAATAAGACTATTTTGATGAAGAACAAAGAAGACAAAACTACCTTTCCTTTGTGGTTCTATTTAGACTTGAATGCTTATCTAAAAACTGCCATTTGATTCCCTGTACTGTAAAACATTAAATTCTCAAAGTCAGAAGTTACACATAACTTCAATTTATTGACAATTGCTGACTGTTGTTTAGCAACTGTTAAAGCAGAGAATATGACTTTAATCATAAACAAATAAGATGAAATTGATGCAAACATATTTCCGATGCTTTGAAGTCACATGGCACAGGCATGAAAAAGCCAATATAGTGGCGCCTTCTTGAGGCCAATATCTATTTGCTAGCATCAGAGTTACATTTCTCTTAACCAGTGTGCCACCTAATTCGACTCTGGTTGATTTAATTTCACTAAATTGTGTCAAAAGTTAAATGGGAGCACAGTTTGAACTTTATGACGATGAGATACAATAACACTAAAACAGAAGATCATTACACTCCTTCTTTAGACCTATCACTTCAATTGAGCCAAGTGAATTCAGCATTGAAAGATAAGGACCATTTATTTCACAATTCCAGTTCAAACCAACTATACTGATTCAAACAAAACTTGAAACATTATAAAGCATTGCTACTTTCATTGAATTATATAGAATATGTTGCACAGAACAGAATATTTATTCCATGTCTGTGTTTACGCTCAACACAAGTCTTATCTCGCCCTTTTTTAATCTAATCCTATTCATATAAACTTGGATGGCTTTTTCTCCCTCACACAGTGTTTTATCTTGCTTCCCCTTAAATGCATCATGATCATTTTATTCTATGATCAGGATTTTTGAACTATGTATTAAAACTATGAATTTGTCTCTTAGCCAATTTGGCTACTCAAGCTACAACAGAAATCAAACATATTATTGTCAAAAAAATGCTACACTGTAAGACTGCTACCACATGGAAGACAACTGACATTAGGTTGGGCTGACAAGAGGATCCTGACCAACTAAATATCATAACATGTCTTTTGGATTAGGAATGTTATCTAATAACAATAATTTAGAGCATAATATAATATTCATGCAATTTTATTCAAAGTTATTTTTGGAATAATTCTAAAGAACTTCATTGCATGATTTTTCTTTCATACAATTGCCAAAAAATAATGCACAATTAAAGTTCCTTTGCACCAACATTCGGGAAATTCTGGTAGATATATAGAATCCATTAAGCAGGTAAGAGCAATTACTATGGGCTATGGTAGGGATTTTTATTCTAACAGGTTTCTTGCCAATTCAATTAAATAAAACAATCTCCTTTATCTTGAAGTTAAGGTGAGACATTAATCATACAATCTCCTTACAAGCTATAATTCATTTCAATATGCTCAAAGTTTGCCCAAGCAAACATTCAGTAATGATAGGCTATTATTTGCATAGCTTAATGCAGAATCACTTAAAAGGAAAAGGTTCTGGTGTCAGAAATTTGCTGTCTAGCTAGAATGTGTTTTTATTTTATAAATGCAAAAATATTTCAACAAATTAATTATCTTAAAAGTTGTTCACTTGATTTTCTGCAACAGATTTTCTAACTGTTTTGTTGGATCAAAATACTGATACTTGTGTGAAACAGATTCTTTTATGACCACCCTGAGTTGAACCAATCTACCACAGAAATTGGCCATTTGGTAGAAAACAAAAAAACAGAGGTTGCTAGAAATGCTCAGCAGGTGTGCCAGCATCTGTAAGAAAAAATCAGAGTTCATATTTCAGGTTCAGTGATCCTTCCTCAGAACATCCCCAGTTCTGAGGAAAGGTCACCAGATCTGAAATGTTAACTCTGATCTTTTTCTTCACAGATGCTGTCAGACCTGCTGAGTATTTCCAGCAACTTCTGCTTTTGAGGCCGTTTGATAGTATTGCTTTTCATCAGGACAAGAATACTAATTTACTGTGAATTATAATGCTGAGTGCAATAGGAAATCCTTTGACACAATGACTTTTCCAGCAATATTTTTAAAAAGTAGTAAGGGTCTGACAACCAAATAAGATTAGTGAAATATTTTTTCACTTCGCTCTATTGGCAATGATAAAATGCAAAAGAGTTGTGAATATGCTTCAACTTTGGCGATTGTTCACTGTGTTCTACTGAGTAGGAAATTTCCTAATTATGTCTTTTTACAAACCATTTCTGACAGAAGTGGACAAGAGCTAGGGGTACTTTAAATTATTATGCGGTTGACAGATCAGTGTTGACCAGTGCCTTTCGGGAGGTGCTGCTGATTCAATATGAGCAATACCATTAATCCAATCCGTAAGTAAACTATTGCAAGTCAGGAACCGAGAAACATAGGTCCTCCATTTGGTAACGAGACAATCTCTCTGACTATTCTGAAATCATTGCTTTTAAACTGGTAAAAAAAAAATTTAGCCCTCAAAATAATATGAGAAACAATGAGATAAATACTGAATTCTTTGAAACAGCCATCACAGGCCACAAATTTCTTTAAATGACAATGCAATGGATTTCCCGCATAATCAGCTCACTCATACTATTCTAGACCTTTATTTCTGTTGTCTGGCTCTATTGTAAAGAAACATACGTGTCATTGTCTTCATCTTGCTGGAGCAGTTTTTCAATGGCCATGCTTGCAATGGTCCTTCTGGCATCTTCCAGCTCCATGAGCCCAGGCTCAGGAACAGAAATGGGCAGGGGTACAAACTGAGGTGGCATAGGCTGCAGTGAATTGCTCTGACACGGCGCCACTGGTGCCGGTAGCGATGAAAGTGTCTGGCTCCAAGAGAAGTAGCTGAGCGCAGGCTGCTGATCTGCAAGGTCCAACTGTGGAACACCACCTGGTGTGGGGGCCCTCGACTGTGGAGAAATCAGAGCAAATATTAACAGCTGCAAATTCTTTTCAAACACATCTGTAAGCAGTGACTAATATGCTGATTATCCTCTGTGGGCTTTGAGTGGAGCTCACTGCTAAGACTCTTGCCTTAGAAAGCTCCAGTCCTAGAGATACAAGCACAAAAGCATGTATGACACTCCAGTCCAATACTGAGGGACAGCTACACAGCGTGAGAGGTTAAACTGAAGCCCTTTAACTAGCTGTAATCAAGCCCACGACATTCTTTCAAAGAGACGAAGGATTCCCCTGGGTGTTCTGGTCAATATTCATCCTTCATCCAATGTTACTAATAAACAAATTATCAGGTCATCTACGTCCTTATTGTTTGTGGGATATTCCTGTGTACAGATCATCTGCCATGTTTAACATTACAATAGTGACTTCATTACAAAAGATTTTACTGGATAAAGGACTCTGGAACTCGTGAGGGAATGAACACTGCTGCACCAATTAAAATCATCCTTTCTCTGTGACTTTAAACGTGCTATTGCATTTCCTTTTGCCAATTTTCTCATTAATTAACTAGAACAGTGCTTAGGAAACCAGCTGGTGTATTTAGTCTCCAGTTATGAGCCATCAATCCCAACAGTGGTACTCATGAGATACTGAGCAGGGAGTAGGTATCTTCCTACATTTAAGAAGAAAAAAACCTCACAAAAAAATCATGTTCAAGCTTCTACAGCCCACCCCCTAAGAGTTCACAGAATCACAGAATTGTTACAGCACACAGCGAGGCCATTCAACCCAGCATGTCTATGCTGGTTCATTCCATGCTATTCTCCTGCCTTCTCCCTGCAACCCTTCACATTGCTGATTTTCAAATAACAGTCATCGAGTCATAGAGTTATACAGCATGGAAACAGACCCTTTGGTTCAACTCATCTGCACTGATCAGATGTGCCAATCTGACCTAGTCCCATTTGCCAAGATTTGGTCCATATTCCTCTAAACCCTTCCTATTCATATACCCATCCAGATACCTTTTAAATGGAACTGTACTTGCCTCTACCACTTCCTCTGGCAGCTCATTCCATACACACACCACCCTCAGCTTGGAAAGGTTACCCCTCAGGTTCTGTTTAAATCCTTCCCCTCTCACCTTAAACCTATGCCCTCTAGTTTTGGACTCTACTACCCTAGGAAAGAGACCTCAGCTATTCACCCTATTCATGCTCCTCACGATTTTATAAACCTCTATGAGGTCACCCATCATCCTTCGACACTCTAGAGAAAATATCTCTAATTCCCTTTTGAAAATGCCTCACTTGAAAATTATTTCATTTGAACAGTGACGGAATATGAATAGATGCTGCCTGACTTGCTGAGTCTTCCCAGAGCTTTCTGTTTTGATTTCAGATTTCCAGCATCCACAACATTTTATCGTCGCGTTCTATGATGGTTGAGTTGAGATGTTAGCATTCCTTCAGTATTACATTCATGTGCCAGCCTAGGGTTTTGTGCTCAAAGTTTCTGGAGTAGGATTTCCCATCAACTCTATCCACACTCCTCACAATTCAGAACACTTCTATCTGATCTCCTTTCAATCTAGCCCTCCTCCAATCAGACTTATTAAGTACAGAAAGCAGAAATGATCAGACACAGATGTCACTGGTGAAAGTGGCAACATAAACAATTTGTTTTTATGCTAATGGATATGACAGAGCATTGCAGATGTGTTTGGGAGCACTGATGGAGACATCACTGAAGTCATCAAGGCTGTGTCCAGCAGCAAACAAGGCATTTAATAACAGCTTCTACTGTTTAGACAGGTAAGCAGAACACGTATCTCAGGAAAAGACTATATAGTTTTAATCATTTTGCCACTGTAGCTGTGCATTCAGCAGCTCAGGCACTTCCTAACCCTTTCTCTTTCTCTTCTTTTAAGATGCTCCTTAAAATACACCATTTGGAACAAGTGCACAATGTTCGGCACCATTCATGACTCCTCAGATACTAAAGCAGTTCACATTCAAATGCAACAAGATCTGGACAATATTCAGACTGGGCCGACAAGTGACAAGTACCATTCACACCACACAAATACCAGGCAATGACCCTCTCCAATAAGGGACAATCTAACCACTGCCCCTTGACGTTCAATGGTGTTACCGTCACTGAATCCCCCGGTATCAACATCCTGGGGTTTACCCTTGATCAGAAAGACAACTTGGCTTGCCACGTAAATGCAGTGGCTACAAGTGCAGGTCAGAGGCTAGGAATATGTGGTGAGTAACTCACCTCCTGACTCCCAAAGCCTGACCACCATCTACAAGGCACAAGTCAGGAGTGTGATGAAATACTCCCCACTTGCCTGGATGAGTGCAGCCCCAATAACACTCAACAATCATGACACCATCCAGGACAAAGCACTCCCTCCACCACTGATGTGCAGTAGCATCAGTGTATAAAATCTGCAACAGGCACTGCAAAAATTTGACAAAGATCCTTAGACAGCACTTTCCAAAGCTATGATCATTTCCATTTAGAAGGACAAGGGCAGCAGGAACACCAACACCTGCAAGTTCCCCTCAAAGCCACTCACCAACCTGATTTGAGAATATATCTCCATCCCTTCACTGTTATTGGGTCAAAATCATGGAAATGCCTCACTAAGGGCATTGTGGGTCTTCCTACAACACATGGTTTGCAATGGTTCAAAAAGGCAGCTTTATAATGGGAAACTTGGGATGGGCAATAAATGCCTGCCCAGCCAGTAGTGCCCATGTCCCATGAGTGCAAAAAGAAGAAACCCATAACTTTTGTGTATACCGTATTATACCAAATGAGCCAGTAGTGAGCACAATCCTGTCCCCAGCCCCAATGTGTCTTCTAATATATTTTATAACAAATACTTTGTGTCAGCATATGAAAATCCTGGGTGTATCGTACCTGACAATTCATCCCAAAGTTGCTCAACAATGGTTGTGGAGTGTAAGACACCACTGAGGGAGGTCCCACAACTGCATAACTGGAACAGACAGGCTGCATACACATGTCTTGCATGTATGAGGGGTTTACTGTCTCATGTAAGGGGTATTCGGGACATGGTGACCACTGTGGCAACGGTTGCAGGGTAGCAGAAGATGATTGAGGCAGCCATGTAGTGTGGAAAGTTCCCTCTTCAGCATGTTGCACTGATGGTGAAGGAATATCAGCCTCTGGGAAGATAGGATGTCCTAAAAACAAACAAAAATAACACTGATCAATTTGACAGTATGTTTACATTCAATATATAAGAGCATATTAAGTGCAATGACATTAAAGAAGTTCATTGTGGGGTATGTTGCAATATCTTATATCATTATTACTCCATTACTTGCAAGTCAATTATAATCCTCTGTCTGAATTGCGGAATTAAAATCAACTCAAATACAATCAGGCTACATCATTTTGTTTGGAACTGTGTTGTTTCTTCCTGCTACTGTATTTAGAACATAGAATATAGAACATAGAACAGTACAGTACAGCACAGGCCCTTCGGCCCACGATGTTGTGCTGAACTTTTACCCTAAACCTAAGGTCTATCTAACCTCCACTGCTATCTTATATTATCATCCATATGCCTATCTAACAGCTGCTTAAATGCCCCTAATGAGGCCGACTCCACTACCCTCTCCGGCAATGCATTCCACTAAGGTCCATTTTCACATTGGATTTGAAAAGCAGGTTTCTGAAGTATAAAGGTTTAAATGTCTGAAATGTTAATGCTGAAGATTAACTTCAACACAGTCCAACAATAATGTCTTCTGTGTGTGGTGGGAGAACAGTTCAGGATCTCACAGGGGTAAGTACTGTCATCTGGGTCTCCCTCACAGTTATTGTTACAGACACTATCAGATGAATGTAACTTCCAAATGGTAGTTATCATAGGCAAGAACTTGTTTAAGGCAAGAACTTCTTCTCATTAAACCACCACGTGGATTTTCTCTAATGCTTTAATTCAGTCAGGGACTTGTTGATCCCTACCAGGAAAGATGTGGCAGCAAATTTACAAGATGGCTCATGCAACATAGTGAGGACTGGTGAGGATTCACCCTACAACAATTTCCCATTTGTGGCAACAGTGAAGAGAATGAGCGATAGTTTCCACTTTCTTAGAAGAGTAAGATTTAGGTCTTTAACGCTTCGGTTTTCTTTAATAACTCTTTAATTGTTTCTACACCTATCTCAGCCTTTCCACTTGCTTGAGGATACCAAGGTGAATTGGTAACATGAATGAAGTCACATCCATTTGAGAAATATTAGAATCTTTAATTCATAAATTGCTGCTAATTGTCAAACACTATATAGTGCCTGCAATCCCTTCTGTGGAATAAATTCTCTTAAGGGATTTGATGGCTGCTTCTGCGATGATGCTGCACAAATAATTAACTTTAATCCATCTTGAACAGGAATTGATAATCATATATTCTTCTTAAAATCAAACAATCTTTCTCAAGACTGACCACAGTCATTAAGGAAAGGGAGGTGCTAATTGTGATTCCTTTTGTTTTTTGCTATTTATATCACAATGAATCAGTTATTTCTTCTACAGAGTGAGCATGCCTGGTCAGAAGACTGATTGCTCTGTTCTGACACAACACTTTGTAGTTTCTATATATCCTTGGTGTATTCTTTGAAGAATACCAAGTCACCAGGGCTCTCGGTATAAATAGTTCCTTGCCAAAGACTCTTAAGTCTCATCACTCACAGTGAGGTGATTGTCTTGTTAAAAATACAGGCAAGATATTGGACTGTTGTACATATCGTCTGACCATCCTTTCAGACACTGTTTCCAGATCTGACAACATGCTTCATCCCATTCTGAGGCCTGCCTTTTCTCTTGCAACCTCCTTTCAGTAGTTAGCAAGTTAGGAGGCAGCGGCATAGTTGTAATGCCACTGAATTAGTAATCAGAAAACCCCAGGCTAATGGTTTGGAGAGTCCCAAATAGTGAAACTTGAATTGAATAAAAATCTGGAATAAAAAGTTAGCCTAATGGTGACGATGTAACAACTGCTGTAAAAATCTATGTTGTTTAGCCTGCGTGTGGTTCCAGATCCACAGCAATGAAATTGACTCAACAATAGCACGGATAGGGTGAATAGTCAAAGTTTTTTTTTCCCAGGAGAGGGGAGTCCAAAACTAGAGGGCATAGGTTTCAGCTGAGAGGGGAAAGATTTAAAGGGACCTAAGGGGCAACTTTTTCACACAGAGGGTGGTGTGTGTATGGAATGAGCTGCCAGAGGAAGTGGTGGAGGCTGGTACAATTACAACATTTATAAGGCATCTGGATAAGTATATAAATAGGTAGAGTTCTGAGGGGTATAGGCGAAATACTGGCAAATGGGACATGATTAATTTGGGATATCTGGTCGGCATGGACGAGTTGGACAGACGGGCTTGTTTCCATGCTGTAAATCAGAAACAATGACAGAAATTGCTGGAAGAGCTCAGCAGGTCTGGTAGCATCTGTGGACAGAAATCAGAGTTAACATTTCAGGTCAAGCAATTTCTGTTTTTGTGCCTGAAATGCCCATTTGACCTTTGCTAAGTCTGGTAGGATCTTGCCCACATGATCCACCATACCAAGGAATATCCTGAAATGCAATGCCATAGGTGATAGAAATACCCTCAAGATTTGCTTTTTTCTGTATCAATAGTGATCCTGGTGATTTGACCAGGAAATTTTTAATCATGGGTTAATTGCTTTAGCATCATCTTGTAGCTGATATGGGAATCAGCCTTTAATTTTCCCAATCCCAAGAAAAATTTTGGGAATTGACTTAGGAAATTAATTTGTGTGTTCAGCATCAGCAATCTCCTCTGCTTCACTGATCAATCTTAGCTTTAGGCATGCCCTTCTACTCTGTAAAGGACATCCTGATTTTGAATGATATAGGGACGCTCAAGGATTCCTGGTTGTTTATATTTCAGCTTGGCTATGAGCTGGCTTTTTACTTTTTGTTATGTTCTTCCAAGGCCTTGTAACTTCATAAATGGCAGCTGAAATGAGATTTGTTGAAGATATTTTACTTGGTCTGATAGATACAGGCTTCAGAGAGTTGCTACTTAGTTAAATCTTAGGTAAAACACTGGGTGACAAAGTGAATCAATGGTTAGCACTGCTACCTCACAGTGCCAGGGATTCAGGTTTGATTCCACCCTTGGGTAACTGTCTGTGTGGAGATTACACATTCTCCCCATGCCTGTGTGGGCTTCCTCTGGGTGCTCTGCTTTCCTTCCACAGTCCAAAGATGTGCAGGTTGGGTGGATTAACCATGCTAAATTGCCCAGGCAAGGTGAAATAGCCATAGAAAATGCAGATCTACAGAAATGGGCCTGGGTCTGGGTTGGATGCTCTTTAGAGTGTTGTTGTGGATTCGATGGGTTGAATGGTCTGCTTCTGCACTGTAAGGAATTCTGTGGCGTAGACATCCACTTAAAGCTTTATATGTCAATATCTGTTTTTGGTGTCATTTATTTTCCCCCAGGAAATTTATGGTACGTTCTTGTGGTCCTTCAATCTCTTGTATGCAGTGTTGCTTTCAGAATTTCTCCCTTTATGTGCAGGTTGTCTGTGTTTTGAGTGACAGGATGCTTTGGAACGGCTCCACAGTTGTGGCACCCTGCCCTGCCCTTGTCCCCAAGTGGACACCCTTCTCATTGGTGTGCCTCAGTCTCACTACACCAGAGGCATTTAGAAACGGTGCATCCTTCCACACCTGGAATGTTTTTGGGAATGGTAGGATAGATTCCATGCTACGCCCGAGCCATGGAACTGTTTCGGCATCTGGAAATGTTCTGCTGCTGTTTGTGACTTTGGGTCTTTGCTTCCTGCTGTCTGGACTCTTGCTCTGTTTTCCAGCTTGCTTTTGCTGCTGTTGCAATGTTTTGACATCTTAGTGAGTCTTTGAAATTTTCTTTACCTCTGTAAATTGGATGTTCTTTTTAACTATTAACATTGTAGTTTTGCTTTTCCTTTCCACTGCCACTATGTTTTATTTTGTGGTTGGTTTATAGAGGGTTTTTTGTTGCTGGAATCCGTAAGTAGTCTACCAAAAGCACGCTGCTTGAGCCCATTGTCTTTATGCAAGTACTGTTCACTTACAGCGAAGGATCTTGAGTTTGAGGCATTCAAAAGGGCATTAGAGACCAAGTTGGATAGAAACAATAAACAAGGGTTTAGGAAAAAAAAATGAAGGACAATGGCAAATGAAGGTCATGATGCTCATTTGAAGAGCCAGTAATGACTAGATAGGCTGAATGGCCTACTCCTGCACCATAATACTTCTGTGATTCTGCGATCTACACACATAAGACCTTCATAGGAGGTTCTGCTTCTTCAACCTGCCAGAACGTTTGACCTGGTCAGGGTCACATATTGCGTGTATTTTCTGATGTGAACATCATTACTCTACAAGACTGCCCCTGGCTATACAGGCTATTCCACACAGTTATGCATCACAAAATATAAATGTCCAATCCCACTCAAAACCACAGGAATTCTTGAGCATAGCAAAGAGAAATGATTAAGAAAAAGGCCAATTTGGAGCAGAGAAATTCTGGGATGTTTATCTCCTGTTCTTCATGAGGAGATAGTGATCTCCTGAAATAGGTTCATTAGCCCTGGTAATTCTTGGCTGTATCTGGATTTTGAAAGAGATGGTCATGGCTGTTACAAAATACATCCTTTTCATCCGGGCACAATTTTGTCATTTCCTTCTTAAGTACCTTGTGCTACCCAAATACTGTTTCAGCCGAGTCTCTATCTCATCACTGAAAGTCATGGTCCAGGGACAGCTATCACTATTTCTTTTCATTAACCCTGGTGATATCCTTCATCACCATGGTATTCCATTGTTCATTCTGTGTCCTTGTGTCTGAAAGATGTCTATTTTTCTTGGCTCCATGTGATCTGATTTTGCTTCCAGCAGGGTGCTTTTTTCCTACGGCAGCAATGCTTGTGTATTTTTTTAATTCGATTGTGGGGTGTGGGCATTGCTTGTTGGGCCAGCATTTATTGACTGTATCTAGTTTCTCTTGAAAAGGTAGTAGTGAACTCCTTCTTGAACACTACAGTCCATGTGCTGCAGGTAGACCCACAATGCCACTGGGGAGGGAACTCCAGGAGTTTGACCCAGTGATATGGTGATACATTTCAAAGTCAGAAATAGTGAGTGGCTTGGAGAGGAACTTGAAGGTGTTCCCATGTATCTGCTGCCCTTGTCCTTCTACATGGAAGTGGTCATGTGTTTGGAAGGTGGTGTCTTAGGATATTTTTTGAATTGCTGCAGTGTTTCTTGTGGATAGTACACACTGCAGCCTCTGAGGTCTGTGGAGGGAGTGAATATTTATGAATGTGCTAAGCAGGCGGTTTTGTCCTGGATGATGTCAAACTTCTTGATTGTAGTTGGAGCTGCACTCATCCAGGCAGATGGGGAGCATTCCATGGCAATCCTGCCCTTGCAGATGGCTTTTGGGAGCTAGGAGAGTGACTTGTCCCAGTATTCCCAGCTTCTGACTTGCTCTTCTAGCCACTGTACTTATGTGGTGAGTCCAGTTCAGTTTCTGGTCAATGATAACCCCCAGAATATTGATAGTGAAGGATTCAGTGATGGTAACATAATTGAATATCAATGGATGGCAGTTACATTGTCTCTTATTGGAAATGGTCATTACTTGGTATTTGTGTGGTGTGAATGTCACTTGTCACATGTCACTTGTCAGCCCAAGACTGGATATTGTCCACATCTTGTTGCATTTGAACAGGGACTGCTTCATTGTCGATAGAGTCACGAATGGTGCTGAACATTGTGCCATCAATGGCGAACATCCCCACTTCTGATGAAAGTCATTGATGAAGCAGCTGAGCATGTTTGGGCTTTGGACACTACTCTGAGGAACTCCTGCAGAGATATCCTGAAGCTGAGATGACTGACCTCTAACAAATACAATTATCTTTCTACATGCCAGGTATGATTCCAACCAGGAGAAAGTTTGCCTCTGATTCCCATTGATTCCTGTTTTGCTGGGGTGACTGGATGCCACATTTGGTCAAATGGAGTCTTGATGTCAAGGACTATCACTCTCACCTCATTTAATACATTATCCCTCATATATTAAGAAATTGAATGTGGATACCATGGAATTGAAGAATCCAATAGACATTTATTACAGTTAACTATTAAGTACAGACACTACATTCACAGGCACTTAAGTGTCTGGACTAACATTAAACTAATACAACAGAGGAGTGCTCTTCAAGTGGCATTTCATGCTTCAAGTGATCCTAAGGGTAAGATGGAGTATCGGACATTTATACTGTTTGTTAACCTGACATGATACAGTGATGATGTCATTAGCATACCTCTTAAGGGTATGCTGATACACTGTCATTCAGCAGTAAGGATTCCACAAGGTCATCTTTATGTTGAGATGGGAAAGATAGATATTAACTGAATATTTTGCATCAGTTTTTACCGTGGAGAAATTACTGGAGGGTACAGAACGCAGGGAAATAAATATTGATGTTTGAAAATAGTTCACAATACAGAAGAAGATATGCCAGAGGTCTTGGAAAGTATAAAGGTGGATAAATCTCCTGGACCTGATCTGGTGTATCCCAGGATGTTGTGGGAAGTTAGGGAGGAAATTGTGGGGCCCCTTTCAAAAATACTTGTATCATCTGTAAATGCGAGTGAGGTGCTGGATGACTGGAGAGTGGCTAATGTTGTACCTTTGCTGAAGAAGACCTGTAAGGAGAAGCGTGGGAATTACAGACCTGCGAGTCTGACTTCAGTAGTGGGAAAGTTGTTGAAGGTGATTTTGAAAGATAGGGTTTAGTATTTGGAGAAACAAGGAATAATTAGGGATAGTCAGCGTGGCTTTGTGTGAGGGAAATCATGTCTCACAAACTTGATTGAGCTTACTTAAGTGACCAAAATGATTGATGAGGGCAGAGCAGTAGATGTTGTTTACTTGGACTTTAGTAAAGCTTTAGACAAAGTTCCACATAGTAGACTAATTAGTCAAGTTAGATTACATGCGATTCAGAGTGAACTTGCCAATTGGATACAAAACTGGATCAGTAGAAGGAGACAGAGGGTGGTGGTGGAAGGTTGTTTTTTGGACTGGAGGCCTGTGACCAGCAGTGTTCTACAGGGATCAGTGTTGGGTCTACTCTTGTTTGTCATTTATATAAATAATTTCAATGAAAATATAGAACATGTGGTTAGTAAGTTTGTGGATTACACCAAAATTGGTGGTATAGTGGACAGTGTTGAAGGTTATCTAAGATTACAAAGAGATCTTGATCAATTGGATCAGTGGGCTGAAGGGTAGCAGATGGAATTTAATTTGGATAAATGTGACAGATTGCATTTTGGTAAAGCAAAGGCAAGACTTATTCAAAGTAGGGTCCTGGGTAGTGTTGTAGAACAGAGAGACACCTAAGGGTTCAGGTGAATAATTCTTTGAAGTTTGCATCACATGTAGACAGGTTAGTTAAAAAGGCTTTTAGCATACTTACCTTCATTACTCAGACCTTTGAGTGTAGGAATTGGGACGTCATGTTGAGGTTGTGCAGGACATTGGCAAGGCCTCTTCTGGAATACTGTGTCCAGTTCTGGTCACTCCGTTATAGGAAGAAAATTACCAAGCTGGAGAGGATTCGGAGAAGATTTACCAGGATGTTGCCAGGGATGGAAGGTTTGAGTTATAGGGAGAGACTGGAAAGGCTGGGACTTTTTTCACTAGAGTGTTGGAGGTTGAGGGGTATTAATCTTATACAGATTTTTAAAATCATCAAGGGTATAGATGAGGTGAATGGCAGGTGTCTTTTCCCTGTGAAGGGGGATTTCAAGACTAGGTGTCATATTTTTAAAGATAGAGGGGAAAGTTTTAAAAGGGACACGAGGGGCAACTTTTTTTTATATGGAGAGTGGTTCATGTGTGGAATGAATTTCCAGACGAAGTGGTGGATGAGGGCACAGTTGCAACATCTAAAAAGACGTTTGGATAAGTACATGAATAGGAAAGGTCTGGAGGGATTTGGGCCAAGCACAGACAGGTGGGACTAGTTTTGTTTGGTATTATAGTTGGCATGGACAGGTTGGACCAAAGGGTCTGTTTCTGTGCCGTTGGACCCTTTGATTCCAAAACTAGGCTTGGCTGATGGCTAGTTGCCAATTCTTTGCACAGAAGTGCCCATTTTTCAGAAAGAGACATTACTCAGAATGCCTCCCTTCATCTAATCTGAGGTTCACTTAGATGTGCTGGTGACAAAATAAGCCCCTATAAATATTCCATTCCTTATCTGTCTTTTTGAAAGGCAGTTGATCATAAAAACAAATGATGTGGTTATGTGGAAGCACTTGGCAATAAATGTATAAACACAATTGTATTAAGGTAAACAGAATGGCAGCTGGCAAAGAGATTTTAGTTTGCTGATAAAAGCAAATTCAACAAAAGAAAATCAATGTGACTCTGTAACAATTAACAAATAAATGGCTGTATGTGGGTAACTGAACAAGTAAAAAGTTCATTGCACCATTGTTCATTCTGAAATATGCCAGTTCGTTGTCACGATAATAAAGTTTGTTTTATAATTATGTAGGATGAATCTTACCTATTTGTGAATAGCATGTCATCGAAAGGTGTGGCAAAACCATCTGCTTGATATAAAAAGAAGTGTTAAGTTAGAAAAAAAATAACATGTATTGTCTTTTTGTAGCTGTAAATACAAGGTATTTGAAGGTGGTGAATGGGTTTGGTACATTTTCCATTGCAATGATTTAAACTAATACATCCATAAATAAAATATTGTAATTCAATCTAGCAGAGTTTGTTTAGTTCTATTTCATAAAGCACGTATCATGATTGGCATCGAAAGCACGTTCTGTGGTTCCCTCAACAGTACTTCTCGAACTCACAACCTCCACCAACAGAGAAATATTCTAAACAAATGCTTGGGAACATATCAAGTTGCTCTCTAAGTCACAGATTCTCCTGATTTGGAAACATGTTGATTATTTCTTCATTGTCACTGCATCAAAATCCTGGAACTTTCTCCCTTATATCACTCACAGTGTACCTACGCCACATCGACTGTAGCTGGTCAAGAAGGCAACTCACTGTTATTTTCTCAAGGACAATTAGGTTTGACCAATAAATGCTGGCCTAGCCAGCAATGCAGAAATCCCAAGAATTAGTTTACAGAACTTTTACACACTTTTCTTTTACTATTATGAGAGATGGACTGCTGATAGGGCAAATGACTGTTGTGATGTTTTGATTGATTTTTGGGAAATTTTAAACAAATAATGGCCATTCATGCTACACTGGTACTTACGTTATTCACTATAAATTAAATTAATATATAATTGTAAGAGTTTGTACACATCAAAGCTAGAGCTTGAAATGCAAATCTAGAGTTATGGCCAGTGCTACAATGCACATGGATCAACGAAAAAGGTTCCACGGGTACACTGATAACATCCATCTCCATCTCACTCATCTTTATCTCACCAGCATTTCTCCTGCCTCTCAGCTCTTTGTCAGTTTTCAATACTGGAAGAGGTGTAATTTCAACTTAGTTAAACATAAAGGCTGACTGAAGTCATTGTTTCTGGTCCCCATCATGAATATTGTTTTTGTGTCAGTGAATCCACCCTGATCCCTGGTCTTTGCTTCAGACTATACTTGAGAATTTTCAGCCTCAGCATTCTGTTTCAGCCTGAACTGGACTCTGACTCTTCATACTCTTTCACAAATGCCTCTGTAATATAACCCATTTCTATCCTTGCTTCCGGTTATAATCATAGCATAGATCTTCATCCATGCTTTTTTAACATCTCCAGTATTCCAACGCTCTTCTGGAAAGTCACTCACCTCCCACCTTCCATAAACTTTTGCTCATCCAGCATTGGTTACCTAGAATGTAAACTGCATCGCACCAGACCCTGTTCATCATCATACCTGTGCTCACCACCTTATGTTTTGTTGTCCAACTGTCAGTTTTGACATTTTAATTCTTATATTCAAAATTCTTCATTGTTATAACGGCTTGGGAATAACGCTTTGGGGTGACATTGGTCATAGCAGAAGCCAGTTTGAGATTTTGGTTGCCAAATTTCTCAAGTGAGATTCTGTACATTGGGTGTGAATGAATGTGATGCGGTTTATTGCTCATTTTGGGGCAATGTGGATTACGCAAAACGTCTGAGTGAAAAAAATTTTCAGATTGATTTTGCTGGCTCGAAACCAATAGTGGAAAGAAAGAAAATTCCCTAAAATGAAACTGTGAACGCATGTCAGCAACAGTTAGGTTGTACATATGTTACCTTTTATAAACCAAAAAAATTGTTAGTGGTATTCAGAAGGGAGCATCTCACACTGGATGTCTATTGACCCTGAAAAATTCCTCTGGAGGCTATCAAGCCAGGTCCAGGAGACTGAAGTAATTGATATAACTAATGATGCCACACTTGCCTATCCTTCACAAGTCCCACGTTTTCCACACCCGAGAACTCATCTACCTTCCTCTCAATGGCTTGCAGAGAAGTCAAATTTATTGTGTGTTCTTGCAAGCAACCTAATGAAACATTAAGCCATTCGCAACTTGTTTGTCACAATTTCGTGCTGTGGTGGTAAAACAGGAGCCACTGTACAGCACACATATAAACAGGGAGATACGAACACATGGGCTGTTTATCTGTCCCAAAATTCGTGCAGAAAATAATAAAGAAAAATAGACAAGCGGAGCTAATTAATTTGCATTCAGGTGTTCAGTATCCATCTATTGATGGGAATGAAGTCTTCTGATTTGCATGGAAGCTGCCACACCTTGTTGCTGTATAACTTGCAGTGTGTCATCATTTTCAAGCACACTTCTTACTCATTTGGCTGCACTTGCGATATCTCCTTTTGTGTTGCAGGACTACAAAAGAAATCACCTTATATTTGAGGTTTTTGGGACATTTAAGAATTAAAAGAAAAGCAAAATAAACTTAGGTTTTGCTTGTTATTCTACACTGAATCTGAGCAAATGACAGACCAGTGTGGAGGGCGCAATTCTATATTCATGGAGTAAGCTGCAGGCTTTGTCACCATTGCATATCTATAGAGTTGGATTTCCTCAAAGTACAGTGATTGTTCCTCTGCCTTAACTTCCACTATGGGTCTCAAGACCATAAGATCTAGGAGTAGAAGTAGGCCATTTGACTCATTGAGTCTGCTCCATGGCTAATATGTTTTTCAAAACCATTCTTCTGTCTTCTTCCCATCATCTTTGATCTCCTTACTAATCAAGAACCTGTCTTTCTCTGCCTTAAATACACTCAATGACCTGGCCTCCACAGCCCACTGTGATTCAACACTCTCTGGCTGAATAAACTTTCCCTCATCTCAATTCTAAAAGGGTCATCTCTTCAATCTGAGGGTGTACCCTTGGATCTAGTCTCCATGTCCACTCTATCCAGGCCTCTCTGTAATCTGTAGGCTTCCTTACATTACTCCCTCATTCTTCTAAACTCCATTGACTACAGACCCCAGTATGCTCAACCGCTCCTCATAATGACGCCCTTCATCCCCGGGATCATTCTCATAAGCCTCCTCTGGACACTCTCCAAGGCCGGCATGTCCTTCCTTAGATACAGGGCCAAAAACTGTTTATAATATTCCAAATGTAGTCTGACCAGAACCTTATAATGCCTCAACAGTACATCTCTGCTCTTGTATTCTAGCCCTCTTGAAATGAATGCTAAAATTGCATTTTCCCTCCTAACTGCCAACTGAACCTGCATGCTTACCTTAAGAGAATCCTGAACAAGGGCTCCTAAGTCTCTTTGCGATTCAGATTTCCAAAGCTTTTTCCTGATTAGAAAATAGTCCATACTTCTATTCTTCTTACCAAAGCCTCACACTTTGCCATGTTGTATTCTTTGCCCATTCTCCTAGCTGTCCAAGTCCTTCTGCAGCCTCCCTGCTTCCTCAACACTACCTGTCCCTCCACCTATCTTTGAGTCATCTGCAAACTTAGCAACAACGCCGTTAATTCCTTCATCCAGATTGTTATGCATTATGTGAATAGTAGCAATCCCAGCATGGACTCCTTGCAGATCTCCTCCAGCTGCCATTGTGAAAAGACTCCTTTATCCCTACTCTTTGCCTTCTACCAGTCAGCCAATATTCTATCTATGCCAGTACCTTGACCCTAACACCATTGGATCTTACCTTATTTAGCAGCCTCCTATGTGGCACCTTGTCAATGCCCTTCAGGCCTGCCTTTTTATTCACTCGTGGAACATAGGTGTCACTGACTGACCAGCATTTATAGCCCATCCCTAGTGGCCCTTCAGAAGGTGGTGGTGAGCTGCCTTTTTGAACTGCTGCAGTCCATGAGCTGTAGGTAGACTCACCATGCCCTTAGGGAGGGAATTTCTCTTCTCTCTAGACTATTCAGCATCATGTTTAAATTCAAATCTGCCTTAAAAAATAATAAACTAAAACAAGGGGATTAAGTTTGATGGCAGCAAAACCTATGACTGATTGGCACACTCTAAGCCTTATTTCTTTCATAAAACCAAAATACTGTACTAATCTGGAAATCTGAAACAAAAAACAGATAATTCAAGATATCCAGCAATGACTGTGGAGAGAGAAAAACAGAGTTGAAGCTTAAGGTCTGTAACTTTATCAGTTGTGGAAAAACTCATTGACAATGAGTTGGCATGAAAATGGGGTGGCTAGGTGGTTAGCACTGCTGCCTTACTGTGTCATGAACCCCAGTTTGATTCTACCCTCAGGTGACTGTTGGAGTTTGCACCTTTTCCCCGAATCTGCATGGATTTCCTCCCACTGTCCAAAGATGTGTAGGTTAGGTGGAACGGCCATGCTAAATTGCCCGTTGTGTCCATGGATGTGCAGGTTAGGTGGATTATCCATGAGGAATGTAAGGTGATGGGGATAGTGTGGAATACTCTTCAGAGGATCAGAGTGGACTGGATGGGCTGAATGGCTTGCTTCCAAACTGCAGTGATTTTATGGTCAATGATTCAAAACTTATTGCATTCCCAATTCTTATCTAAGGTCACAGGGTGGAAGCATTAACTGTTTCTCCACAGACACAGTAGTTCCTATGTTTTTCTGTTTTATTTCACAATACCTTCTGGTCTTTACATTACATGAAAGTAGTAATCCAGAACCCCAGGCTAATGGTCTCGGAACATGAGTTTGAATCCCACCATGGCAGGGGGTGAGATTTGAATTCAGTAAAAATCAGGATTCTGGCAACAACATAATCATTGTCGATTGTTGTAAAAAAGAAACATCAGATTCACTAATGGCCTTTTGAGAAGGAAATCCATCATCCTCAGCTGGTGTGGCCCATGTGACTAGACTCACAAAAATGTGATTTAATTTTTAACTGCCCTCTCAGCAAGAAATACTGGTGTAGCTGGCAATGCACACATGCAATGACCAAACTTAAAACAAAACATTTCAGATAGTTTACTGTTTACATCTCTTTCTTTGCACAGGAGACGTTTTAGCAAAACATTTACTTAGTTTTCAGATAAATGTTCTGCTAAAGGAGAAACTGTAGGCTTGACAATGACAGGACATGCAAGAGGTGTGACCTCCTCTTGATCCTGCACTCATATCGTGCACAATC